CAGGGGGTCAAATGGAGGTAGAAAAATGATGTTTTTTTTATGCAAAAAGCCCCGTCTTCCCTGAACTCCTTCTACATTTTACACAGTAGCCTAATCATCTTTTGGGAGATGGTTGGTGGTGTCATGTAGATATGCAGTAAGGTTTCGGAATTTAGATTTTGCCCCGGGGGGTCAAATGGGGGTCGAAAAATGACGTTTTTTGTGCAAAAAGTCCCGTCTTCCCTGAACTCCTTCTACATTTTACTCAGCAGCCTAATCACCTTTTGGGGGATGATTGGTGGTGTCATGTAGATGTGCAGTAAGGTTTCGGAATTTTGATTTTGCCCCGGGGGGTCAAATGGGGGTCGAAAAATGACGTTTTTTATGCAAAAAGCCCCATCTTCCCTGAACTCCTCTTACATTTTACTCAGCAGCCTTATCATCTTTTGGGGGGTGATTGGTGTTGTCACGTAGATGTGCAGTAAGGATTCGGAATTTTGATTTTGCCCCGGGGGGTCAAATGGGGGTCGAAAAATGATGTTTTTTATGCAAAAAGCCCCGTCTTCCCTGAACTCCTTCTACATTTTACACAGTAGCCTAATCATCTTTTGGGAGATGGTTGGTGGTGTCATGTTGATATGCAGTAAGGTTTCTGAATTTAGATTTTGCCCCGGGGGGTCAAATTGGGGTGGAAAAATAACGTTTTTTATACAAAAAGCCCCGTTTTCCCTGAACTCCTCTTACATTTTACTCAGCAGCCTATTCATCTTTTGAGAGATGGTTGGTGGCGTCATGTAGATGTGCAGTAAGGTTTCGGAATTTTGATTTTGCCCTGGGGGGTCAAATGGGGGTCAAAAAATGACATTTTTTATGCAAAAAGCCCCGTCTTCCCTGAACTTCTCCTACATTTTACAAAGTAGCCTAACCATCTGTTGGGAGATGGTTGGTGGTGTCAGGTAGATGTGCAGTAAGGTTTTGGAATTAAGATTTTGCCCTGGGGGGTCAAATATGGGTCGAAAAATGACGTTTTTTTGTGCAAAAAGCCCTGTCTTCCCTGAAGTCTTCCTTAATGTTATTCAGAAGCCTAATCATCTTTTAGGAGAGTTAAATATTTTGAAAATTATGTAAAACATCAACGTCAAGGGGTAAAAAAAGCATCACATGCTGGGAAACACCTTGAATTCTTATGAGTAATTAATGTATATGTCAAATGTGAGAGTCATATCTCATCTCAATCAAAAGTTATAAGCAAATGCAACATTTTTGAAAAGTAGAGGCTTGACCTCTTCAAGGTCAAGGTCACAGAGTAAAAGTCATGATTTATTTGGAAAGGTCTTATCACAGGTGATAATATACATGCATTATGATATGAATGCCCTAACTTTTCTCTTTCAAAATGATGAATTTATAACAATTTAATTTTTTTGCAAGTAGGTCAAACTTCTAGGTCACAGGTAAAAAAAAACAAGATTTGTTTGTGAAACACTATGCGCCCGGCGGCAACAAAGTTCAAAAAATCTATTTTTAGCATATTGATCACAGTCAAGGTCACAAGGTCATTGACCATGGTGTCATTCGAAAGAACTTAATCAGTGGAGTATGCATACTAAATATGAAGTCCCTATCTCCTATGGTTCAAAAGTTATGGCAAAAAGTGTAAAGAGCTATTTTTAGCATATAGGTCACAGTCAAGATCACAAGATCATTGACCTTGCCGTCGTTTGAAAGGACTTTATCGATGGAGTATGCATACCAAATATGAATTTCCTATCTCCTATGGTTAAAAAGTTATGGCAAAAAGTGTAAAAAGCTATTTTTAGCATATAGGTCACAGTCAAGGTCGCAAGATCATTGACCTTGATGTTGTTTGAAAGGATTCTATTAGTGGAGTATGCATACCAAATATGAAGTCCCTATCTCCTTTGGTTAAAAAGTTATGACAAACAGTGGAAAAAGCTATTTTTAACATATAGGTCACAGTCAAGGTCACAAGGTCATTGACCTTGATGTCATTTGAAAGGACTTTATTACTGGAGTATGCATACCAAATATGAAGTCTCTATCTCTTATTGTTCAAAAGTTATGGCCAAGGTTAAAGTTGACAACAGACAGACAGACAAACAGATAAACAGACAAACAGACAAAAAGACAAACAGACAGGACAAAAACAATATACGCCCGGGATCTATCGATCCGGGCGCATAAAAAACCATGCCATTCTCACAGGTAAATACTAATACATAAGTTTAATATTCAGTAGATATGACCGTGATGACCAAGGTTAAATTCATTGAGACAGATGGACAGTCTGACATACAAATATACATATTTCTATATGAATTGGGTAAAATTGGCCCAGTGGTTCTAGAGAAGTTAAAAATGTAAAAAGTTTTCAGATAAACAGATGGACGACTCGTCACGACAGACGTTACATGTTAAGGAAACCAGAAAAGCTCAAATGAGTGTTTTGAAAGGGTTAGAATATGGTTGCAGTATTTGAAAAGCTGTTTTTTTCATGCAGAGATATGCATGACCAACATATTCATGTTTTATATTTTCTTTAGTAATTTGTTTGTTTGTTGTGAATACATCTCTCTTGGGAATTTTTCCCTCATATGGAGACACCACCAAATAATAATGAAGACAAGATGTGTTTGTGAAACACTGATGTCCCTGTATGGAAGCCTATGGCGAAGTTGAAGTTTCTCAAATATATGTCAAACTCAAAGTTCAAGGTCAAAGGGTTCAAATTGTTAGTATCAGAAGAAAGTCTTGTCACAAGGAATGCACATGTGAAATAAAGAAATCCCTAGTAATTCCTGTTCAAAAGTTAATTGCCAAGGTTAATTTTTTTTTAAGTGGTTCAAACTCTAGGGTCAAGGTCAAACATATTTATACCTGTTGACAGTTCACAATGAATACACATGTTAAGCATGAAAACCCTAACACCTATTGATCAAAATTTAGGCCAAGTTTAAAGTTTGGTATTTTTCTTGTAAAAATGTGTATCCTAGGTCAAGCGATTTCAGGTAAAAATTAATGGTACCCAAATAAAAGGTCTTAATTGTCACAAGAAATAAACCTATAAAATGTACTAGTAGTCAGTAGAAGCCATTTGTATAGCCCATCCCACTTAAAACTTATGGGCAAGGTTATAATTTCTGCAGACAAATAGACAGACATAATATAAACACAAGAAACAAAATATGTATAATTAGTCAAATGGAAAAAAATATACTATTTAATTGGAATCACAAAATAGATTATTATTTCAGGGACAGGGAGTGGGTAGGGAGATTGGAATCCCCCCCATCCCCCCCCCCTGGAATTTGCTTTGTTATTTAAACAAGACTATATACTGAAGCAAATAAAAAATGACTTTGGACATCCTCCCCCTAACTGAGAAAACATTGACCACACTATCATTGTTTTTATTTTGTTTATTTGTTTTCAGTTTTTTTTCTCCTGCTTGTCAGGAAATTCTGGGCTGGAAATTTTTTGACTGAGATGTGAACCCCTCTCCCTACTCCCGAAAAAAAATTCTGGATCCGCACCAGTACTGGCAGTAACTGAATGTCACATCGACAATGGCAGATAACTTCACAATATGAAATTCGTCTAGTGTGGCATGCGATGATCTTTGACCCTTTTTGAACTTTAACCTAATCGTTTGGGTTTATTTTACTCCCCACTATACTTAAACTTGTACTTACCGACTGCCATACATGTTTGTCTCGTCAACTTCATGAAATATAAATCCAATTATAACACAAAATGAATTAATCCAATGCACACCAGACTGCAGCCATGTGCTAATTCCATTCGACAAACCTTCGTCGATTCCGTCACCTTATCAGATGAAGTGGGAATCGGCCGAGGTGTGCCAAATGGTGTTTAATCTAAAAATATGATAATGGGTGACGCAACGTGATGTGATGTAGAAATTTACATGTTAACATGTATAGTACAAGAACAAATTTTAAATTAATTCTTAACAAACGATGTTTTAACAAAACTTTTCCATCTAGCCTATTCCAAACAGTATGTGCTTTGTGATTGTGGTGTCGACGGGGGGGATTAATAAATTTAAAAAGGTCCTATTATGAGCAAAACATTTATCAAAATCTAATTTACATCATTAATAGAATTCAAACTGGTATATAATGAATTAAGCATGTAAAATAAATATAAGAGGTTCTGAGTTATAGGTCACAGGGCCGGTCTGAGAATTTCATACTCAGTTTGATGAATACATGTAAATCATTGGTGTCGGAAGCAAATTCAAAGTGGGGGGCTAGGTGTAAAAAAATTTTTTTATACCTTCTAAAAAAAACCTGACAAAAAAAAAACAAACAAAAAAAAAAAAACGAAAACATCGATTTCCCAAACACGAAAATCCTATTTCGGGGGGGGGGGGGGGGGGGGGGGGGTTTGAATTCGAACTTCAGTACCAAAAATTTTTTTCCTATACACGACCTTTTTCCCATTTTTTACCTATACTGCCATGTGTCTGGGGAAAGTTGGGGGGCTAAACCTATGAAGCAATGTTCAATATCTATACTAAGTATATGTTTGGAAAAAAAGCCCCGGCCCTAGCCCCCCCCCCCCCCCCCCCGGTTCCGACGCCTATGTAAATTATAGAATTATTTTGACTTTTTCCTTGGAAAGCCGGCCAATATGTAGGAGCGTGTTTTAGAGGCAAACACCTTAGTGCGGGTATTACTGTCTCATGACAGCATCTAGTTATATATAAAATTTTGCCCAAATTTCTAAAATAGTGTCAAAATCGTACAAAACTTTTTCCTATTAACCTGGCAAACCTGTTCATCAGGGTAGCAATTTGAATATAAATTTATTAGAAATGTTTTTGAGTTGTGAATTTTTTTGGTGTTATTTTTCCTTTGATTACTGCAAAAAATCATTATTACACCATGCTTCTCATTATGACAAAGACTGATTGCCTCTCAAAGACTGGAGCACGTCTAACTAAGAGGATTCCTATTCCTTTAATTCGGGCAGATAAATCACGGTGCCAAGTGAGTAGAATTAAGATATCAACTCAATCTACAGGCTCTGAAGCGGTTCAGAATAAGATCTGATTTTGTGTGGTTCTAAGTCTGCTAAGGTTTGCTCTCTCTCTCTCTCTCTCTCTCTCTCTCTCTCTCTCTGAGAAAGATATTTAAGCGATAAATTTAATTGTTTATCATGCATGATTTTTAAATACAAAATCAATATTTTTTAAATTTTAAATAAATTTTAAAATTGCATGTGGATTCCAGAAAGGGTGCATATAGTATTATAAGAAATTTTTAATAAGAAATTTTGTACTGAAACATTCTGTACTTCACGCATCCAGACCTGAGCTGACAAAAATACCTTAGCATGTTATTTTTTTTTTAATTCTGTTTACACTATATTTTATTTTTTTAATTTCAGAAGCCTTTATTAATTCTTGCACAATTCTATTTAAATAAAAATATATGATAAATATCAGATTCGCAAAAATTAAAAGCCTTTGACATAACATACCTCATAACTGATAGAAAAAAAATAATGATCTTTGTGTTACTGTTTTTCCTAGTCATGAATTTAAGACTTGTGTGTACACTCGTGGGTTCTATAACATTGCTGGGACTTCAGACCGAAGGTAACTAAAATATATCACATCGTCTATCACGATTCTATTGTATGCAAAAATAATGTTAAAGAATACGTACTGTCTTTCTGAACTTCACATGATTTGTGTTCCATGTTTGTTTTATTTTTGTTTGTTTGTTTGTTTTTTTGTTTTGTTTTGGGGTTGGTTTTTTATGTCATACCTACATTTTTTTTAACTTTATCATAATTTTCATGGTTAATTTAGAAAGCTTCACTCTATGATAATAAAATTGAATTGCTTATAATAGTTATGTCCACGACAAATGGAACAAAAACCATTCAAATTAAATTCTTGTTGTGACCAAGTTAATGCTGGCAAGTTTTGTTTGTACTTAAAATATTCATTGTTTTATCAGCATGCAGCTATCAAATTCTAGATTCTTGTTTGGCAAGGATATGTACTCACTCATTCATTAAGTAATATACTGTGTAATTTATGTTGCAACGATCAGATGTGAAACTAAGCCAGTAAACTTAACGGGCCGTAGCACTGTAGCCTCTTACTTATCTTGTTAATGGGAAAGATGTCTGAATTTTCTCTTTTTTTATCTGAAAGCTTAAATCTACATTTTATGTCATTGTGGCATTCATTTGTTATAAACAGAATTAAAAGTTTAAGTAGTCTCCCTTTAGAGGGTAGCTCTTTTTGCTTACAGTAGAAATGAAAGAGAATTGTCAACTGGGCTAGAAATATTTTTCCCATTTATATTTCAATAATTATGTATCTTGGTGTTTTTAAGTTTGTTTTATTTATATCAAACAGTAACAAATTTTGAAAGATTTTTAAAGAAATATCTTGCAGTAATTTCAAGCAAATACGAGGGTTGATCCAAAAGTAATGTCACTGTGTCCATATCTTTAATGTTTGGCGTCATATTATTATACTTTCATGTAAATTAGTTAAATCTGATTGGTCAAGAAACATTTGCTAAAATACACGATTCCCCGCTGAATAATGGAGCCACGCCCTCCAGCGTAGCAACAGTCACCATTGCTTGACAACGGGTAGTATTCCAAAAAAATAGTGACTGCGCGTAATGTATGCGCGTACGGTTCACCATACTTTTCGACAGGTATCATTTAAGGTATCCGATCCATATTAGCCTCAGATTCAATGGAATTGAATGCGTAATAGATATGTATGGGCTTAATACTCAGTGTAGTTGGAACTTATTTTCATCTTTCAGCATAAGAATGTAAGGGTGGGACATGTCCTAATTTATGACCTTTTCCTGCCCTTGACGAGTTATCTCCCTTTGATTTAAGTCAATAAAAATTAATTTTAAAAAAATCCGTCTGGTAAAAAAATTATTTCTAATTGTTTTTCTATTCCCAATTATCAAATACATCTTTCCACCACAGCATTTTTTGATATTCAAAGTATTTATTTTTTATCTTAAAAAACTTCCTTCCTTCCATAGATTTCAATGCAATCTTCAATAACTTATTTCTGCTTAGGTAATAAAATTTTTGAAAATTTCTCTTGGTAAATCCCTTTCTACTCTAAAATGCATTAAAATAATATCAGGATATTTTACAAATAATTGATATTAAAGGTTAGAAATTTTGGTCCTTATATGGGTCGGATACCTTAAGCGTTTGAATCGAGCGTTATCATAAAGCGTCTTCCAAAAACCTAGATTGGTAAACCAAACGAAAACACACCGAAAATCAGTTTATCAAAATGTTCGCCAGTGTAGATGAAAATCATATTAAAAATTTGATTGAAGAAAAGGATTCAAAGAGTACACAGAGAACCGTGAAAAGATCAGTGAATTTATTCCGATCATTCCTAACCGAGAAAAAAAACAACCCTGAGTTTGAGAGTTTTTCGAAGGAACAACTGAATGAAAAGTTGAGACTTTTTTTCGTGTCGATCAGATCAAAATCCGGGGACAGTTTGAAGGTAACTTCTCTTCAAAGTATTAAATATGGACTTTCCAAATACTTGAAAGAAACCTGCAAGATTGATATAAATGATCCTGAATTTAACGACTGCAAAAAAGTATTCAAGGCAAAAGTTACGGACATGAAAAAAAGGGCTATGGCTCCGTCATCCACAAACCTCCGATTTCTCAGGAAGATCTAAAAAAACTTTACAATTCTGACAGTGTGGTATTTAACATAAATACACCATGTGGTTTGCAAATGAAAGTGTGGTTCGATGTTATGTTCTTCATGTGTCGCAGGGGAAGGGAAAATTTACGATGGATGACAAAAGACACATTTAGAGTAAGTACAGATTCCTGTGGGCGACAGTTTGTATTCCAAGCTGTTGATGAGGCTGATAAAAATCACAGGTAAACACTTATGAATCAATATTTATATATATGTGCACACATGTATATATATTTTGCATTTGAAATTTCACTAATAAAAATAAACTTATATTTTCTTAAAATATTGCAGTGTTGATGGAACCCCTGATGACACTATTGGTGAAGGGAGGATGTATGCACAGCCGGGGAGTGTGATGTGTCCTGTAGAATCTTTCAAGAAATATGTAGACAAACTGCACCCCAAGCTTGATGCTCTATGGCAGCGTCCTTTGGATTCATATCTTGAGTCAAACAAAGTGTGGTATTGTCGTGCAGCTATAGGAAAAAACACCTTGGGATCTATGATGTCTGAAATTTCAAAGCTTGGAAATCTTTCCAACATGTACACAAACCATTCCATTAGAGCTACAGCAATAACGGCTCTTGACGATGCTGGAATAGAAGCACGGCACATTATGAGAGCATCAGGCCATAAAAGTGAAGCTTCTATTAGAAGTTACGCTTGTCGACTCAGTGATCCAATGAAACGGGAAATATTAAGACTCTAGGATCACGAGATGATCAGAAAGAGAATGAAAACATGGGATTAGAGGATATAACTATGGAGGAACTTGATGCTATATTTAATGACAGTACATTTTCTGAAGTTTCCACAAACCAAGAGAAATCAGTGGAATCTCCACAGCCACTAAATGTCTTAAACTTAAATTCAGTACCAACCAATGTCAGTTCAATGGGAATTAATGTATACCCATCTCTCAATAACTGTGTGGTTCACTTCAACTTTTTGCCCCAGAAGTAAATAGTGAACTTCTTGGAACTGATCCTTTAATGTTGTGTTCCATGATAAATACACTTTCAAACTATGATATCTGTTTGTTTGGAGATATCCATTTGTTTGTTATTGTTATTTGTTATGATGTTTATTTAATTAAAAACAAGATGTTATGTGATATTTATTTCTTTCAACACAATTTTCTTTTATATAAACTGAATTCAGTTGACTCATGATTAAAGAAAGAAATTTTTTAAAAAAAAGTTGTTTTACTTTGATACATATATATTGTGAAACATTTTATAACATTCAGTATAATATAATAAATATTGCATGCTAGCTAGGGTAACATTGGAAATTGTCACCCTAAGCGCCTCGGTCAACAATGGTTTTCTTGGGGTGACAATTTCCAATGTTACCCTAGCTAGCATGCAATATTTATATAATATTTATCAAATATAATGCACGAAAAGATGCAAAAACATAAATCTTATCAAAATTGAAAATTTCATTTAATAACGTTCAATTGAATTCATTTTATAGATGTTTAAAACATTAAACATAGGGGGTGTCGCCGCGTCACAACTAAACGTCACGTTTTAAAGTTAATATTGTTAGAAAGAAAAAAGACAAACACATTTAAAAAAGTATCTAAAAAATCGTCTAATCGTCCAATTATTCAAAATTTACGACATTTTTTAATCTTTAGATAGAAATTTAATGGCAGCATTGTTTTTTATCAAATAAAACAGTATTGTTTATATCTGATGTATTGCAGAAACGAAATGTCGAAATGGAATAAAACACCGAAACAAGTTGTACTGTATTTTTCCTTCAAAATCGGGAAATCACAAGTAGAAACAGATATGATGGTAAATCAAACTCGCAGAGGAAAGAATGTCAACGAGAAACTTGTTCATAGGTGGTTTCAAAGATTTTGGGTGGATAATAAGTAAATAAATGATCATTTGGGGACAGAAATACATAATATGTACCGAAAGATAGGAGGTCGGGTGGAAACATTCAATGGCGTCGACGTTGTCGTAAAAGAGATTAGTGGCAGTTTGAGTGATATGAGACACTTTTAAGTTTGTCTTATGCTATTGTTCAAAGAATTTTGATGAAGGGTTAAATTACAGATAGAGTGTACAATTGGTGCCAATTGTTTTTAAAGAAATAAAATATGTGAATGTTTTCTGAATATCATTTTTTTAAATAAAACGATGGGAAGGCGTTTTTAAAAGTTTGTGACAGCGCATATCCGTTTTATGACGTAATTTAGGTGCGGCGACTACCATAATCGCATTTTATGTTTAATTCGATATTTTGAAAAGTATAAATCATTTTAATTTGAATTTTTCAGGACTGATTTAAAATAATTATAGCTTCCATCATATAAATTTTTCTTAAGTTACGTCGACTGGGAGAAATTTTATCGAAGTTGTGACATTACTTTTGGATCAACCCTCGTATAAGAATACTCATAACGATATGCGGAAGCAAGGCTTTGCTTAGTCTAGTTGTTTGCTTTTTTTCAAAATCGGATCAATCTTAGCAATTCTATACATGTACAGAATTTTGACCTCGTAGCAGTCTCTTTTAATGTCATGTTTTATCTTCCATGTTTTATGGAATAGTGGGATTTAAACACGTCACAAATCTATACCAGTACTCACATCCCGATAAATGATATCTGATATCTAAAAAAAAGTCTTTATACCATGTCTATTTTCAGCATATTATTGTTGGGATTGGTATTGTGGATACTGGAAATATAAATCAATAAAGGAAAACAGAGAAAGAGGAATGTGTGAGAAGGAGAAGCGGGCAGTAATAGATGATTTAAACAGATTAAGACGAAAATGTGACCAAAATGGAACTATAACGAAAAGCAAGGTTAATGAAACTAATGGCAGGTGCGCGAAAGAGAAGGAGGCACTTATAATTGAAGCTACCAGAAGATGCGAGACGGAGAAGGAAGCACTGAGGGCTGATTTCAACAGACAATCGTCAAATCAGTTGAGAATACTGGCCCGCCAGTTATCTGACTGTCTGAAGAAGCCGAGCTCGGGCACCTGTTCTGCTGACGTCAAATGTTTCTGGGATTCGTTCATCGAAACATGCATTCCCAAGGAATTAGCTTTGTAAAAGCTGCAATTGTTTGACTAGTAAAATAGTCACTTTTATATTTCCTTTTCATTTATTGAGATACATGTAGGACAGCTGTTCATGGATTAAGTTCTATATATGTTTGTCCTGGAGTAGAGCTATTTTGAATATAAAACTTCATAATCTCATATCAGGTGTCCAAAGTGATCATCGAATCCACTGTGATACAAATATGAGATACATCTATCGCTAACCCACTTACCCAGTATGTTACTACCCTTAATCCGTCACTTTCAGAAAACTCAACACTGTAATTTATGTTTTATGGTCGATACAATGACCTAGTCAGCAAATATAATTTATCAATTATTCAAATCCTGACTGAAGTTTTTCATACTAATTGTAAAGCCAATATATTCAAACTGAATTGTCGACAGATTTTTCCGTTATTTCCCGATCATGACAAAGAACACACAGCGGGTGTGACCGATTGGCAGGGGATGCTCACTCCTCCATGGCACCTGATCCCATCTCTCATGTTTTGGAGGTCCGTGTTTACTCTGCTCCTATATAGTATTGTTAAATGGACTTTTGGGTTTGAATACTGATCGTTATCTCCATAAATGTCATTTTTATAAAAATGCAAGAAGTATTTCATTTTGAGAAGTATAATACAATAATAATTTTTTTTCAACAGTATATATACCTACTGCAACTTACAAAGTATTTTAGATATACTAATTTTGTGTTTGTTCAATTCAATCATATTTGCCGATTCATTTTCGCAATAGATAACTAGATTGAGCCTCGTTAAGGTAAACGTTAACAGAACCAGTTTATTTTAATGATTAATGATTTGAATTAATGAGTTAATGATTTGTTTAAATATTTTCACCGTTTAAATCCACATCAAGGAAGAATTGCGAACGATAGAATTGTTCTTCCGCCTACCTCCAAGTCAATTTTCAAAAGTTAACATATTGGAATGATTTTTAAACATAAGAAAAGATATAAGGAACATTTACTAGTAATTATATTCAAGACTATTTCAAATAAGGTGATGCTTGAAAGTCCGATTTCAACATGGAAAATATTCTCTAACCCCCCCCCCTTTTTTTTCAAGAGCTATAATTATGGATAATTTACTTTTGAGCGCTGGTTATTAAATAATTAATCAATTACCATTGGACTGTTCCTTGTATTGAACAAAGATTTTATGCATAAATTGCAGTTACATGTAATTTTAAATTAAATGTGTACAAAATGTAGGCGGGAATATCGAGTTAGCGTGCGTATGGTCCTTTTAACATAGAAGATTACACAGCTACAAAATAATTATTTGTATCTGTCATAGTATGTTATTAAAATTTTGAAAAAGGAAAAAAATTATAACTTGGTGTCAAGTTCTCTTAAATCACTGGATATAGTGCAACTATAACAATTGTTTTTAAAAAAAGCATTTTGCAAAATTGAGTCAAATACGCTGAAAGAACTTAGGACACAGTCGTGTGGAGAATGTTTGCAAAAAAAAGTATGAATTGAACATATTTTATTGACAAAGTCAAAAGGATCGGACACAAGTTCAGTAACTTAGATAGTCCTCTCCTAATGCAACATTTTGTAAAATTGCCAAAGTATAACAAACATACATATGGTCTACTACATACATATGTATGTAAGTATACAAAAAATATATATGTTATATACAAATCAATTTCTCCCTAAATATGTTTGGAACAGTGAGAGCACATGTTTGTATCCGTGCCTGCGTCCCTCAAAATTATAGTACTTCAATGCAGAGCAGATTTGTCTGACCTAACAGAAACCATATCATCGTGCATTCTGTAAAGGTTATCAAATTGCCTTTAAAATAACAACTTGATTACTTACAAAATATTTTATAATGCGAATTGTAACATTCTGTGCTTTTCGCAAAATTACATATACGTATATGTATATTGTAAAAAAAATTATAACGTTAAACAAAACTCATTATATCATTGTACTAGGTATATTTTTCCGCCATGCATCTTGGATCAATTTCGATTTTAATTCTTTCTTTAGTTATGTTTGACTTTGAAACTCAAGGTATGTATTAATTAGAATCTCGTGTAGAGATAAAGCTTAATTACTAATAGTTACATTTCTGAAAGAAATCAATATCCAAAGCAAATTTATCCTTGTTGGTTACATATACTTGTACAAGTGTGTACACAAAAACTGAGGGTACGAATAATATATTGGTCCTTTGTATATCATATCCAAGCAACAAATATAATTTATTGGTCTTTTGCAATTGTATATCATGTCCCAGCAACAAATATTTTGCTTAAAATTGTTTTGTATCTTTATGTAAGGTTTTTCTGATCAATGTATTCTGTCCGACGTGGTTTTATATTGAAACTGTCATAATAAATGTACACGTGTAGTTGAAATTGGTATATTCGTTGTTACGGTGCATGCTATTCTCACGTGATATTTGTGAGTATTCCAGGAAACAAAACATAAAGAACTACGCACACTAACTCTCGATTCCCGCCTACATTTTGCACCCATTTAATTCACTATTAATGGCAAATTGGCCGTAAAATCACATGAAAGTTTAATGGAAATTTGTTTATTATTTTAACATTTGAAATAGTCTTGGATATGATTAAATGTTGCTTATATCTTTTCTTATGTTAAACGCAAATAAATCAAACATATATGTTGAAATATGTGAGGAAAAAAAAACATAATTGTGTGTGTGTGTGTGTGTGTGTGAGGGTGTGTGTGTGTGTGTGATTGTGTGTGTGTGTTTAAACATATGTCCCCCCCGTGAAACACAAAAGCTTTGGTATGAATTTGTAAATTGACAGTCTATATTTCCTGTTAAAAGGAATTTTTGTTTCACAGGGGGCGGGGGGATGTTTTTGAAATATTTCCCCTTTTCCGTTCATTTTTATAGTGAAAAACAAAAAAAAAAGTTTTACGAAAGTTATAGAGTATTTTCCCTTAGTTTTCCCAAATAAGTTTGGTAAGTTGTTTTATGAAAATTCATGAAAAATATACATGTATATACACTGTATAAAATGAGAAATCATTCAAATGTATTAATTAACTTTTGAAAATTGACTTTGAGGTACTAGTAGGCGGGAGAACAATACTATCGTTCGCAGTTCTTTAATTCATAAGATGTCAAAATCTATAAGGTTCAAGGTCAAAATGGCTCTATGTAACTAAAGCCTTTCAAATTAAATTTTATTCGATGGTAAAGGAGCTATCGCGGGGTCGTACGAATTAAAATTTTAGTTAGAATAACAGTAGTAGTGTTCATAGAAGAAACACTCTTTAGTCAAATTTAGTATTTAAACAACTGCATTAAAATTGATATGAAAGACGTCAACCAAAATTCGGCCCAATTATAGGGAATTATATGCTATAACAAAGTCGTTAGGATGAGTATTTACAAGATGCTAATTATAATAAGATTAATGAAATCCCTGTAAAATTAACATATCTGTCAGTAGCTTGTCAATTAAAAATTGAATATATTCAGAGAATGATCTTGAGTGTTTAATAAGTTAGTTTGATTAATTAATTAGTTTGAAAAGTAAACACACTATGCAGGTGATAACGGTATATTACTGGAGGATGTGGAAAATTGATGACTGAAAAAGCTGAAGTCTTCACATTTCGTATCATAAAGTTTTGTTGTTCGTTAGACTTAATCCTCTTGCAGGCACGTAGCAACAGGAAGAAGGGGGGGGGGGGCACTTTTTCCCAACATTACATATACTGTAGGAAATATTAATTAAAAGACTAGTTGGTCCACCCAACTTTTTGTGATGTAATGAAAATGTAGCATTGTAGGTCCCAAGAATTGTTACTGAAAGAAGTTGGCATCGAAAAAGTTGGCTTGTTACAACCCCCCCCCCCCAACCCCACCCCCACGAAATATGATTTTCGACACTGGGCAATTTTTTTTTAACGAAAGCCCAATGAGCTCATTTTCGTAGGTAAGAAAAATAATTTTTTCGCGTTATAACGCGAAACTTTCGCGAATAACCGCGTAACTTTCGCGTTATAACGCGAAACTTTCGCGATATAACGCGTAACGTTCGCGTTATAACGCGAAACTTTCGCGAATAAACGCGTTACTATCGCGTTATTACGCGAAACTTTCGCGAAACTTTCGCGATATGCGCGAAACTTTCGCGTTATAACGCGAAACTTTTGCTGTATAACCAGACATTTGCTTTAGTCTCAATGTTCTTTTGATTTTGTCATTAATTTTATTCAATACAATGTTAAGCAAACGGCTATTTTGATCTTGGACTATCACAAGTTAAATTTTAAGCTTTCTTGCTATTGAATCCATCGTTACCGTCACAATTTGTCTTTCTGAACGCTGTTCAAACAATTCAAAGTTTACGTGAGTTTTCCAAAAGAAACTTCAAGAGAATTAATTTCGGGGAAAATCACCCCTTTCCGTTTTTCTTATGCACTCTCTAGAGAATTTGAAATAATTTTATTTTATAGAGATCAAGATCTCAGAAAATTGACAAAATGAGGTAAATTTGTCAATTGTGTCCCACCGCATTTGTGAAAATTGGATAGCAGATTTCTATTTGTCTCCGTTGGAGTCACTGTGGAAATTCGATATCCTATTTTGAGGTTGCATCACGTTGTCATTCCATTGCTTACGAAAACATTGACAATTCAAAGTGTACAAACTCTGCTGTATAACTTCATAGTTTTTATTTATGGCTAGTCCACTAACTTCTCTATAACCCAATATAAAAATATTGGAGACAATGAAATTATACATTGTTCATTCACTTTTAATTTATGTTTCTACAGTGTATAATTTTTTGTCCAAAATGGTTGATTGCTTAATTTACTAGTGGTACCGTTGTAGTAAATGTTCATGATTAAAAATCAGCTAGAAAAAAATGTCAAGTGGAGATTTTCCTTAAGAAATAATCAGTCTAAAGAATTTAACAATTGAAAAACATGTACAAGAAAGTTAAATTCATTTTTTTAAGAGCATGTCTACGAGAAACCGTGCAAAAGGTTATGGGATCAACTTCATATTTTGTGTGTAAATTTCTTCTATAATATGAAATATTTTGCCACAATTTTTTTTTCAGTGTGGTCTCACTTAAGGGGGTAAATCGACTCTGTTACTTAAAATAGAATTCTTGGTCCTTACACAGGGTGAAAACAGGAATTTTATAGGATTTTATATTAAAAAATTCAGCATTTTATTTAATAATGATATAAAATATCCATATATAGTTGAAAGTAACAAGATACACTTGTTTCAGAAAATTTTTATAATCACAAACTGTGTCCCCGTTTAAGTGCAAAAAGGTCACAAATCTGGCATATTTCCAGATTTTTGAAAACTGATAAAAATATTCACTTTTCAAAAACCTACAACTCAGAAAGTGACGCTTAGAATCAACTCAATCTCATACAAATTATTAGACAACATGTCTGTCTACATTATAGAAAAAAATCTGTCTTTGGACTCTCAAATATTTGGCTGTACTTTTTACTTAAAGTTTGACATTTTTTTTTTTAATTTTCAATTTTTTTTTCATCCCTGAACTTCAGCATGGAGTTTTTTGTTTATTTGAATATTTTCAAAATTAAAATTCAATAGTAAGGTTTTAAAATAAAATAAATTATTCTGATGACTAATATATCCCATCTCGCATCATATTCTTTCGCGTTATAACGCGAAAGTTTCGCGTTAAAACGCGAAAGTTACGCGTTATAACGCGAAAGTTTCGCGTTATATCGCGAAAATTATGCGCTTATTCGCGAAAGTTTCGCGTTATAACGCGAAAGTTACGCGCTTATTCGCGAAAGTTACGCGTTATAACGCGAACGTTTCGCGTTAATACGCGAAAGTTACGCGTTATAACGCGAAAGTTTCGCAATATATCGCGAAAAATACGCGCTTATTCGCGAAAGTTTCGCGTTATAACGCGAAATTTACGCGTTTATTCGCGAAAGTTTCGCGTAATATCGCGAAAGTTACACTTTTATTCGCGAAAAAAAATATTTTTCTTACCTACGAAAATGAGCTCATTGGGCTTTCGTAGTTTTTGCCTGTAAACTTTTTCAGGTTAGTAAAAAAAATTTCACTGGCTGCCACCCTCCCCACTTTTAAAAACGATGCTACGTGGCTGTCTTATGTCAGTACATTTAAATATGAAACGGATGTTGCAGATTCTGTGGTATCTTTGGTTTCAAATTTACGTGGATAATCGAATCGACATATTCATAAAGGTAACTTCATGTAAATTGTAAACTGATAACACGTCGTCAATATATCATATCTGAAAACAGAGTTGAAGGCCATAGGAAGTGGTCTTTTTTTTTTTTTTGGTATTCTTACTTAAAACTTTTTTAAAAAAGGACTTTTTTTTCTTCAAATGTATATGAAATCTAATTTAAGTTGTATTTGATAGGAGACGCGCTTTGGTATAAATTCATTGATTTTGTTGTCTATACAAAAGCCAGAAATTGCCCTCTCGGTTGTTTGAATTTGTACATTTATATTTTATAGAAGTAACTTCATCATGTTCATCAAACGAATATATATATAAGTAATAATCATATCATGCACAGCTCTTATCACACAGCAATGATTATTATAGGATATAAATAACTCGCCATGTATATAAATTCCCGATGTAATGAAGAATTGAACATAGACAATCGTAGGACGATTCTCACCTTAGTTTGGACTTTCAGTAGGGCGTGGCACTCTCGGTGCTACGTAATGGCGAGTACTAGTAGATTCTCATTGGTTAAGAAATTAATAACATCAGGAACATCAGCTAGGAAGTTTAAAGTGTTGTTGACAATGATGAGACAACTGATATCCCACCTCTGTGCCGTGAGAGAACTTTTAATTGGCTATTTACTACATCAGTTGACATTCGGCCGAATTTCTATCCTATGTATATTTCAACAGTGAAGAAAAGCTGTGTCAATTTCAGAAGCTGAGGTAAGAGAATGCCACGCCTTACTGAAAGTCCAAACTAAGCTGTAATAGTCCTATATATAACAACAGGAAAAATGGAATACACATGTAAATTTCAGAAATCCAAGAAATTTACATGATGGGTTCCTTGTGTATTGAAAAGGTTTTTATAATATTATTGTGCATTCTACCTTGCCGTTAAAAGGTTTCCTACAATTAAAAGGGTTCTATGTATATTTCCAATGGTTTCCATGAATTAAGGTACAAAATAATATATATCCAATCCCACCCTTTTTTTTCACTCAGTTTTGTTGACTTGGCATTTTTTTTTATTGTTTCAGCAATCAATGTGTGTACACGTGTTTGTCAACAAGAAATGCAAACAGCAAGCGAGGAAGCAGAAGCGAAGTGTGAGACAGAGAAACAGGCACTGAAGGATGACGTCATCAGAATGGCGACGAACAAGCAGAGGATTCTAGCGCGCCAGCTAGCCGAATGTCTTCTATTAAACTCCGTCACTTGTCCTACCGACTCCAACTGTTTTTGGGACTCGATTGTCAACATTTGCATTCCTAGAGAATTAGCTTTATAAAAAATTTATGAGATAACCGATAGTTTTGGACAGTAACTGTTGTACTTGAGAATGGAAGATACTTTCAACTTGTAATCTTATACACTCACATAGAAAAAAACATGTCATGTGCACTATCCAAAACATAACGGAAATATGCATTCCAAGTCTATCTGCATAGTGGATGCATCCTAAGATGCACTTTTTCCATTTGTTAATAAAAGTATATACTAGTATGTAATTTCTGGTTAATTGGGATCTGCATTGTCCAAGGATCATTCAGTTCCGAATGCCCTCTTCAAGAAAATCCAAGTGTAAAAAACTTTTGATCCAAATCATAATTGATGGAGTGTATCTTTATCGATACCAGTATAAATTAATGTGATTAATTGCTGTCACATACTCTTGTTTGTTCTCTTGCATTACAATTTACCTATGTCAGTTGATGGAAATAAGGAATTTTCTTCAGAATGAATTTGTTTGAATTACAATATCTATATTGGATTCCAAAACTTCACAAAAATCCTTACAAATCAAAGATACTAAGCGGTTTCCAGTAAATGTTCTACGCCAGGTCCGAGGATCTTCAAACAGACTTAGACTTAAGCCGTCAAATTTTAAATTTACAACATGACTTTGTATTTCCTGCCACCCGGTAAATTCAAAATTTACAACATGACAAATTTCTAAAACTAAGCTAGTAAGTTTTTGTCAAACAATTTGCTAAAACAAGAAAATCAGCGCCTAGTTTAAAGACATTATATTTCGTATCTATATAGTCGAAATAATAAATTATCGTGTCAGCAAATATAATTTATTATGAATTCAAATGCTGACTGGCCTTTTTCATACTAGCCTATTGGCAAAGCCATTATTTATGCACTTTTTCCGTTTTTTCCCAATCGTGACAAGCAAGGAGCACTTGGCGGGATCGAGTGTCTAATCGGCAGGGACTGCTCACTCCTCCATGGCATCTGATTCCACCACTGATGTTTTGGAGGTCCGTGTTTACTCTGGTCCTAATTTGTAATGTTAAATGGACTTCTGGGCTTTAAATTCTGTTCGTTATCTCCTTATATTACATTCAAGATTATCGAAGGCACAGGCACCTGGCACACGGATGGTACGTGTATCCCACCCCCTACTGGCCCTAGCTACTGAGAATTTTTATTAGACACAAAAACTTATCAAAAATACATGATTTCCTAGTCTATCATTCTTACATTTCGATATCGGGTGATAAGATGATTTAGAGATTGGCCAGGTATATACCAAATTACCACAGTACACCATCCATTCGTCAGGTGCTTGTGATCAAAGGCATTATTCCTGACGACCAATTTTGTTGGATCTATGCGTTTTTCTGAATATCATTTTTTTTTCTTCTAAACAGATTTACTGGTTTGGAAATGTTTCTCGAAATTGTTTGGAACGAGTGGCTATTTAGAATAATCGAATAATACGCTGTGCAAATTGACAATTATTTACTTTCACTTTCGCTTTGATTTCTCGTCCTGGAATGTTGTCGTTGACGGTTGAGGATCGTTTTCTGAACGTTTTTAAATAGTAATAGTATTTTCAAAGATGGAGAGAAAGAGTATGTGTGAAATGTGAGTTATATCATTTTAAAGAACTATTGTTCTTGAAATAGTTTTAGAAATCATTGTCACATACCTGTCAACATGGCCAAAATTTTTCGGGGGAGAAAACGCGCGACGACCTTTTGCAAATACAAAAAGTCATCGCGCGTTTCACTGTTTCATAGAACAAAAATAAACAACAAGATAAAACTTTATTAATATTAATATTAACACCATCATTAATTCATAAAATTTACTGTTTATTCATACATTGTTTAGAAACTTGTACAATGTGAATTAATTTTGAAATTATAAAATTTTATGTTCACTATCTATTCTGCCAGTCCATAAGAGCATCATTTAAATAAAATTCATGGCAAATGCTGTAGTTTAACTTGGCAATTAGAAAAATTAATAAAGTTCTGCAGACAGTCTTGAGTTTCAAGCTTTTAATAGATGGATGAATGGATTTTTCTCACTAAGTCTAAGGGACATGAGTTGTATCCTTGATTTAAAGATCTGAAATTGAAATAATTGTCAAAACTTCATGCTTACATTCTTAAAATAATGTGTAATATAGTATGAATGAAATACCCTGTATTTTTTTTCTTTTAATCTCATAACATATATCGAAATTTTTAAATATACTTTATTTTAGTAATGTTCTAATGTGCTTATTTTATATTTCAATTTAGAAATGCATTACCCTGTTTAGCTTTGTAAATTTAAAGAAGTCTTCTAAAGACACTGTCTTGTTGCTCTGTAGTTTCAGGGGCTGTTATATGTTGATGCAGGATTTACTAAGTCATCGAATCTCAAAATCTGTTGGGAAATCTTCAGCTGACTCTGAACATTTATGTTAGCTTCCATGAAATTTGTTCCCTCTCCTGTTAAATTAATAATAGAGTACTGTAGCCACACCTTTCCTGATCACTGTATTGTTTATGGAATAATAGTTTTGTCTTAGGCACTTGTAAACTTATTTGCAGCAAAGTATCAAGTACTTCCATATCGTTCTTTACCGTCATGTTCTGTAAAAATTTCCACATCTGGCATCTCTGTCTTTGATAATATACACTTTTAATGAGAATAAGGAGCAATTACAACTGCAATTACATCTGCTAGCATAGTTGACACCTTGTTGATTACCTGTTATCAGTGGCAATAAACAGATTAGCTACCGATATAAACACTGCATGGCCTCCATTTTTGTGTTGACTAGTCGGTATTTTACGAACCCAAGTAGGTAAAAAATCCGGAATTTTTCAAAATTGGTAGAAACGGCAGTTTAAAAAAAAATCGTTAGACAGTCGGTAGGGATGGTTAAAAATCGGTAGACTCCCGATAAATTCGGGAGAGTTGACAGGTATGTTGTCATGTTTTAGCTACATACTAATAGTGAGTAATCACTAATCAGTAATGTCAGACACGTTATCTTTAAGTCTGTTAGTTACGTTAGATGTCTGTAAGTAGTTTAGTGAAGAAGAAAGTAAGTAAGTAAATTTTATTTATAGTCGTATTATACACATTACAAAGAACATGATTTTTAAAACTCTTTTACCGACTAGGAAAAGTTTCTGTAAAGATTAAAATTGAAATTTTACTTACCTGTTTACATTTCAAACATTTTTAAAAAAAAATCACAAAAAATTTAATTGAATTTTGAGAGTATTTTTATTTGGAAAATTTCACACAATTGAAATAAATTCATTTTTAAAAATTGACTCTTTTTATAACATGTTTAAGATGCAAGAAAGATGAAGTGAAGTACACATGCCCTCGCTGTAATGTCAGATACTGTGGACTGACGTGTTACAGAGATGAACTACACACGGATTGCTCCGAGGCTTTCTATAAAGACTGCTGTATGGAGGCTTTAGAGAATGAGGATGTAAGGTAATACTCCATAGTCTCTATCTGACCAAGTAACCAATGTTTGTTTGAAATATCTGACATTTTCCTTTCCTTGGTTTGATAGTCTCTATCTGATTCTAATGTCATTTTTCTGAAACGAATAATCTGTCCGTACAACTCTCTATAGAAGTGGTGTATGGATTTCCTTGTAATTTAGAAGGATTCTGAAGGAATACTACATTGCTGATAATAACCTTAATTAACTTTCACATTATGAATAAAGAAGATATCCACATTTTTGTCCCCCACTTTCGCGAAAGCTAGTGGACATTAAATCTCATTCGTCTGTCTGTCAGTCTCTCCGTCCGTCACAAAAACTTTAACCTTGCCCATAACTTTTGATTTAGTGGAGCTATGACTTTCATATTTCGCATGTGTATTCCTTAATTGTGACAAGACCTTTCTTTGGATACCACCAAATTTGGCCTTATGACCTTGACCTTGGAGTTTGACCCACTTTTACCAGTCAGGGGTGGTACTGAAATCAGTCATTTTTGAAAATGATGGATAATGGTCATTTCTTCTAAGTATATAATGTACACAATTTTCTGATTTTTGTAAATATGACGTCTTTTCATCATATTTCCATTCTCAAGTCAATTTTCCCATCCCATTTACTACAGTAATTAGATATAGTACACTATCCTGCCATAGACCCTTGTGTAGAGAAACATCTTGACAAGTAATTGACACCAAAATAATTTAGTGCGCCCCGTAAAACTAATGAGATAATTAAGTGCCCTGACCTAACAACTTGATAAAAAATGATGAAAAACAGTCATTTTTAATATCAGAGATAACTCTATTTCTAAAATAAATTTCAAAATAGAAATGACTGTTTTTCATCATTTTACTAAAAAATGATGAATTTCCATCATTATTAAAAATCAATTTAATGACTGAAAATCATCATTTTTAAAAATGATGGATTTCAATCACACCCCTGACTGTTTACACAAAAAAATTAAATTTTTACTTTGGCAATAACTTTTGAACAGTAGATACATGTACCAGGGCTTTTATATTTCACATATGTATTCTTTGTGGTAAGACCTTTCATGGGATATCAACAACTTTGACCTTTTCACCTTGGCCTTGGAGATTTCCGTACTTATGAAAATTTTTAACCTTGGCCATAACTCTAAAACAGTAAGGGATATGGCTTTCATACTTCACATGTAATCCTTGTGAGAAGTTCTTTCATTGGATACCCAAGAACTTTGGCTTCTGAACTTGACCTTGGAGTTTGACCCATTTTTCAAAAACTTTAACCTTGGCCATAACTTTTGAATGGTAAGGGCTAGGGGTTTCATACTCTACATAAGTAATCCATGTGAGAAGACCTTTCATTGGATACCAAGAACTTTGACCCTTTTACCTTGATCTTTGAGTTTGACCTACTTTTTAAAATTTGGGTACCAAAATACCGGTATTTAATGTGTTTTTAAGAAAAGTTTAATCTTCGCTTTGTTGCCATACGGTGTCATCAGTGTTTCACAAATGCATTTTGTTCCTTTTAACTTTTGACTGAGAGGAGATGGGGCTTTCATATGCTTTGGCCTTCACGATTGACTTAATTTAAAAAAAAAATCGACTTTGGCTATAATTTCTAAATGACACATGATATGGCGTTCATATTTGACATCTCACCCACAAAGACACTGAAAGCGGGGGACCACAATTCTTTGAATTTCCTTGTTTTATCATGTTTATATTTTGTCTCTCAATTTGATCCAACTGGCAAGTGACAGTGTACAGAAAGAAAAGCAGTATTGGGGCACAGGTTATTTAAAAATTTCTCTTGAGAAGCACTGGACCAGATAAGATTAAGCTTATTTCAAAGCTTTCTGAGTTTTGGTCGACTAGATTGATCAGATCATGGCCCCAAGGGTAGAATTCGGCCTTAAAAGGGGAGAATAGAGGCCTTAAAAGGGGAACATAGTTTAACAATAGATTTGGATATCTTGATCAAATATTTGTATGATTTTTGCAGCTCTGAAGAAAAACAAAAAATGTTGGAAATGCTTGACCGATTAGAAAAAGAAGATGCAGATAATGAATTGGGTAATGTAATCAATTAACATATACCTTATTCTTCACATATTACAATAATTTAATTTCACTTGTATCTAGCAATTTCATTGGCTGAATCATTCAGAGGAACATTTAACATTTTGTATAACATAACTTGCCTACGTCACAATGAGTTACGTCAAAAACGTATTACTCCGCTTGACGTTACTTTTAAAATATTGCTCAATTTGAAGCCTTTTTCCGGAGGAAATATTGTCTCATTGTCTACACTGAAATTAAATTATAAGAAATGAAGCTAATTTCAACTTATGTTATCCGATATAACAAAACTTAAATTGGGACAGTTTACACTAATTTATAGAGCGTAAACTACCCCAAGTTATGTTATATCGGATAACATAAGTTGAAATAAGCTTCATTCCTTAAGTATTCCAGAAAAAACAAATAGTTTAATATCCTCACATGCTATCTAGCAATTAAAACCATTAGAAATATGCATAAAGAGCAAACATGTAAAAATTCATATTATTAAAAAAGACATAGCAAAATTATGAAGAGATTTGAAGGCATTCACTTCCGAATCAGTGTTTGTAACCCTCTCAGAGATAAATTGTAAAGGTCAGAGTGTCACACGGAGGATTTCCAATAGTCTGTAATAATATGTTAGGCCAAAATAAAATTATAGTTTGTTTGGAATTGCCTCCCACCTCATTGAAATGCCCCCTCCTGAAAAAATTTTATTGTCAGATCAAAAGTAGAAAGATTTTTTTTTTATTTAATCATTTTTTTTTTGCCCATTACATTGTATCACATGCACCATACAATTCAAAACACTGAAATATAGTGTAGAAATCTATGTAAAACTATGTGGGTTTTTTGTTGTTGGTTGTAGATATTTTTTTAAAGTCAGAAAAAATGTATTTACTGTTTACTGAGATTTTTATCAAAAAATTCAATTTTTTCTAAATTAAAAAAAAAAAAATAATTTCCCTCCCTCCCTCCTGTGTCTGAAAACCTTCAGGCGGCAATTCCAAACAAACATTTTTTTAAGGATGGCCTTATCTATCCTTCATGATGTTAAAGTGATATAGAAAATCCAGTAGTAGTAAAAGGATATTTTCATAAATAAAACTTGTGACAAAGATTTAAAAAATAATTCATGGTTGGTAAAGATTATGTAGTTGATATTGTTGGTATACATTTTTTTTTTAAAAAAGTCAGATTCTATTCAAGTTCTTAAAACGAAAACAGAGAAGCCTTTGCTACAGTGATTCAAAACTTCCAATGAATTTATTGAAAAGTAATAGTACAGTTTGTCACACTATTATACATGTAAGTAGTTTTCTGTTTTAGAGGTGGAGGAGTGTGAGGAACTCTCTGAGCGCCTGACAGGACTTAATTTAGGTAACACCCTGTACTTCTTGCTGTATCAGCTTCTTTTAAGATATTCTTTAAAAAATGAATATTTATAACATACTTTCTTCATTATGTTTATTATAGCAATCATATTTAAGCTTGACCATAAAACCTAAGTCTTTAATTACAGATACAGACACAGACCAGATCTGGAACAGACTGACTGACCAAGAGAAGGCACAGTTCAATAAAATGGTCAAGGATGGTCACCTTGGTAACCTTGTGGAAATTTGGACTCCATGGTGGAATGTCAAGGTATTTTTAGCATCTTGAATTCTACATTATTCTGTTTATAAATGTATATGGAATTGTAGTCAGTTTACTAACCTTATATAATTTCAGCAAAGTGTACAACTTTTAAAGTAGCTACTCTGTAACTGAATTTAAACTGTATAACATTTATACATATACTGTATCCAGGGGGTATACCCCTTTCGCCCTCTTCTTGAATGGGCGATTTTAAGACGGAGCGAATTGAAATTACACAGCATAATTTCTTAAACTGAACTATGATTGGGTGAATTTAAAATGGGGCAAAACTGTTTGCAAGTGCAAAAAGGCGAAAATAACACGGGGCGAAAATAACCCTGTATACAGTATGTAAAAACAGGAGACAGTAGGTTAGCATACTTGAAGGCAAGATTTGATAGTGTGTTTGCTACAAATCAAAAAGATAATGATCAAATGATTTAATTTGGGGCCAGTTTTGAATTTGGAATGAGCTTACATTTTATGCCCTCAGATCGAAAGATCACAGGGTATATTGTTTTTGTCATGTCTGTACATGTATGTTTATCTGTCTGTTTTTAACTTTAACCTAGCCCATAACAATTGTGCTGTCAAGGGTAAGTGTATACCACCTCAGTCTACGCCCCACTCCAGAGTTGTGTTACCATCGGGGGCATAGTGTTTCACAAACACATCTTGTTTCTTTCTAAAATTCATTTGCTTTAAATTTTACTTTTCATGTTTACAATGTTCAGTTGTTTGCTTTCTGTAGGAGGAGAAGATAAGTGAAGTAGACAGTGTTAAGGAAACTCAAATTCCAGCAGTGATACAGAAAATACCAGACATCTCTAAACTACTTACGGTAAGGTACTAAGGCAGGGATTCAGGTTTGATGCAGTGATCGGGGTATCAGATTTAATGCATATCAGTGAAACATGGAAAAAGCTCTCATAGAACAACAATCTCTTTTTTAGGAAAACACAGGTTAACAGAAACTTTTATTTGCTCTCTGCATGGTCTGCTCAGAATTTCAATTTGCCTGCAGATGCTTGTCAATCTTTCTGAACTTTCTTAAATCACAGTATATCTCTGTTTATCTTCATGGATATAATCATACATGCATAATTTGTTTTATTAGAATAAAGATGTAAAAAGAAGAGAAGAGATTATGATTTTGTTTATCTTCCTTAGAAATCCAAGCCATCAGCTGACATCAGGAACAACATAGTGAATGTCCTGTATGCCTATGTGTTTGTCTGTCGCCTGTATAACGGTACACACTGGGACTGCCCGCAGGAAGCCGCTCTCGTAAGATGACTCAATTTATTGCATGTTTCCATTTCTTGGTGTAAAGTTTTTATGCGCCCGGATCGAAAGATCCGAGGCGTATATTGTTTTTGTCCTGTCTGTCTGTTTGTCAGTAAACTTTAACCTTTGCCATAACTTTTGAACCATGACATATTTGGTATGCAATTTCTTTCATTGTGACACTGTGACCTATATGCTAAAAATAGAGGGTTTTTTTTGCAAACTTTCCTTTGGTAAAAGTAAAGTTTCCACTTGAAGCTTTCACATGACACCAAGGTAAACCTTGTGATGAATATAAAAAAAGCTCTTTTTTTTTTACCTTCACCATAACTTTTGAACCGTGGAAGATGAGACTTCATATTTGGTAAATATTTCACTAATCAAGATCTTTCATTTGACCTTGTGACCTTGACTGTGTCTTATATGCTAAAAATAGCTTTTTTGAACCTTCACCATAACTTTTGAACCATGAAAGATAGAGACTTCATATTTGGTATGCGTATTCTACTAATCAAGATCTTTCAAATGACATCAAGATTAATGACCTTGTGACCTTCACTGTGACCTTTACGCTAAAAATAACATTTTTACTTGATAAAATGAATATAAGAATATACATGGTAACTAGAAAAAAACTCCTTTAAACTGATACGAATTTTCCCCATATTTTTTCACATTACTTGAAATAACTTTGAGCATAACATTTTGCATTTGAAATTTGATATCCATACATTTTCCCATATTATGTACATATATGTACAATTAATTTGTGATGTTTAATAAATCTTTGCTTGGAAATTTTTAACCTGATTAATTAAATACCGACTTTCAGAAACTGGTGAATGCCAGTGATGTGCTGACCAATAATTCTGTCTGTAGTAGTCCTAGTGAAGCAGTACAGCTCTGTATGGCTAATGTGAGTATCAATAAGATTCCATCAGATGAATTCCCTCTTCATATAACATCTAACAATGACAATTTCATTATGAAAAGTCATAAGTTGTAAGCGAACATAAATATTTTCAAGTTTATTTGGGTAAATTTATCTTTTTTTAGAAGAATAATTTATAAAGTTGAACTACATTGTTTTGTTTCTTGTAGAGGGAATGTCAGCAATCCCAGGATTTTTTGATCGGTCTGGTGGACGATGTTGTCAAGATTCTACAAGGTCCAGGTGGAGGGGAGGATCAAAGATTTGTTATGGCGGCCATTTCAGATATCTTAAAGCTTCTAAAGAAATGTCACAGTCAGTACAAGAAAGGTAACATATCATGCAGCACTCAGACCTGATCAAATGATCTGGTTGTTAATTATTATAACGTGCAATTATCTTTGAGTGGAATTTGGCTGACTGTAACGTTTTCTTATTTTCTAATTTCCGATTCTTCTTCAGAACCACTGTGACAATTTCAACCAAACTTGCTTCAAAGCATTCTTGGGTAAAGGAAATTCAATTTTGTTCAATTGAAAGGCCATGTCATCTTTCAATGGGATAAAATAAAAGGCTTAGTAAAAATTTGGTGGTATCTTATAAAAATATTCTTTTCAGTACCACTAGTTGGAATTTACCTGTAACTTTTAAAGTGTAAAACTTAAGTTTATTCAAAAATGGCCGTCAAGTTAAGTGCAGTCACAATGGCAGATCAAAGTTTTACATAGGAACATACAGAAAAAAATCTCTAAATATTTTCTTCTCAAGAACAGCAAAACCATGATTACTGGTAGTCATAATGATATGGATTTAGATCTACAATGTTCATGTATCTTTAGGTATTGTAAATTCAAATTTGTCCCCCCCCCCAGGATAGGGTGGGGCCAAATCTTTTAAAATTCTCACAAAAACAAAGACATGATATATGAAAGTCATATGGATATGGAAGCATCCTCAGATAGTGTAGCTTCAAGATTGTTCAAGTCATGGGTTGGGTCATAATAAGAATCATTACATAAGATTAATCATAAAAAAAAAAATTGCTGTTGAAGAGCAGGGCCATATTGACTCATGTTTACATTATGGCCCATGTGCCTCTTGTTAATAGAAGGACTCATGGAGATAGCACCACTTTGATAACATATATTTCCTCTTACAGATATCAAGCTATCTAGGGCGGCCTCCTCTGATACCGGGGAGGAGAAGCAGCTACTGTACCGGGGGATAAAGAAGGTGGAGTTCTACCTGGCCTGGTGCCAGAAATGTGGAATGGCCCTTCTGTCTGTCTTGCCAGAGCTCAGGCTAGAATACAGTAGGTTTGAAAAAATACCCAGACAGATGTTGCAGATCTCATGCGTCTTTGTTTACATAACGATATTAAGAATTTTAATGCCGATACGTACACTTGTGTACTTTAGTATGTGTTTGAATCTGATAACACATAGTTTTCATTCTATATGAGTTTCATGTCAACATGTTTGTTGAATCAATAATGAAAATATATCAAATAAGACCATTGCTACTCGCAGGTCGCCTCATTGAGGAGTTAGAAGAAACCAATCAGGTCAAAGAGAGCGTCACGAGGAACCTAACAGAGTTGCGTCCCCCTCCCACAGGGAGTAAATTGATAGAGGAGCTGACATAGTCATTCAGATAGAGAGATAAAGACATTGGAGGAACTCATGCAATCCTCAGTACTTTATCCCACACATGGAGTCAAAACAAAATTCCTAGTGCTCCAGCTTATGAACATAGATTCCTCTTAACTTTGCATTCAAGGAAGGGAAAATAACTAATGCAAAAGGATGGCATGTTATTATTTTGACTCTGTATTGAAGTGCATTTGATTCTCCTACCAAACATTATTTTGGCTCTATTGAAATGCATCAAATTCTCTTACAGAGCATAAATAAACTATTATTTGTTACAGGAAGAAAGTTTTATTCATATCCATGTATAATTTCAGTTAAATATGACATTTTCCTGTTCAAAGGTCTCTATTCCAGTATACTCTGTATAAAATTAGACAGAGATTATAAAAATAAATTTAAGTCAATTTATTCACATCAGTTTATTATATAATATATAAATATCAACAGTGATTTATTGTATTTACAAATAATTAAATACATCATTGTCATGTTTAGACCAAGATTTTAAAAGGGATATCAAAATACAGTGACAACACACTGGAACTTGTATGTGCAGATATTAGATAATTAGCACTGTTGAGATGGAGAGGGGTTTTAAATATGTTTCTTGGTCTCACGTTCAGATTCTTATCAGAACACGACATCAGGTGACACGTAACAAATAAATGAATATACTATTCAACAAAACAAAAATAACATTCACTGAAAACAGTTGCTCAATAACATATAAATGCCAGTCACTTTCTAATTTCAAAATCCAGTCTTCCTATTTAAAATTAATGAATCCTGAATGAAAATAAAACAAATATATTTATCACAGATGATGAATGACACTACAGCCAATCAGAGTTATCTCCCCCCCACAATATGAACATTCTGAGATTGTCCACGGTTATAATCGTAGTTAAGTACAGACATGCTGAGGTTGATTGACCTGCCTCTCCACTTGAGCTAAGTATTTGTCTGGGATGCCAGCCGCCCTGTCAAGTAAAAATAACAGTATTAGAACCAGAAAACGAAACAATTCACAGTATATTGTACAGGTTCTGGTATACTGTATATAACTGTAAAGTTTAACTTTTGTTGTCTTTCGAACTTTTTTCTGTTGCATGGTTTCTTTTCTTGCCCAATGATTACCAAATCACTTTAATATAAATCAAGAATTTATGTACAGTGTACTAGCTTTTAACATTTCTAAAACTAGATGTATATGTACAACAAAATTTAATCATAGAGCATGTACTATAGTATGGTGGCTTAACACTAAAACACAATGATTCACACTACTGGCACCACAGTCTGTTAAGCATGTTCATTGTTGTGGATTGTCTCATCAATATAACACAGCAAAGCAACAAGCAACAAAAACGTTATTCTGCACAAAGGGATTGGCATCTCTTGTGTAGCACAACTCACAGCAAACTCAAAAACAGAACTCTCAACACAATTTAAAATTAACACAGCTATAATGAAGAATTTGTTCTGTGAAATTATATAGCATATAGTTGTAGATGTAGATTTTAAAAAGTAATATTTGTGTGCATTAAGAGTGTGTTGAGTGCTCTGCTTTCAGAATACTTTCAAAGTTTAAAAATCTCAACATTTTTGTAAAGAGTATTCTGAAAGAAATTAACGTGAACAAACATGACAAGAACAACCAAGCTTTTTTTGCAATATTGCCACACCTGCTTGAGGTTGCTAGACTTATGCAACAGTCACATTGACTTTGTGAGCAACATGACCTATATATTTCTCTGGAATGCCTGCATCTCTGTGGTACAAAGAAAAAATATATTTCTTTAAATAGAGAGGATCTCCAAAGCACTTTAAAACAGATTCTTGTAGTCATGACTTGACATACTTAAGTGTACAACTTTGCTTCCGTTTTTCTGCTTACCTTAATTCATTCAGCTTCTTTTTCTTGACTTCCTCTAACTTCTGCCTCCTCTCTCGGGCCTCCTCGTCTAACTTCACGCCCTCCTCAAAGAATGCGTTCCTCTCGAGGACACGGGCCTGCTCCTTGTTACGGATCTGTTTCCTGACTTCGTCAGCGTGAAGCAGCTTCTTCTTACTGGCCTCCTGTTCCTCTCTCTTCTCCTTCTCCACCAACTCCTTCTGAGCTCTACATTTTAACAAAATAAAAAGCAATTATTTTGTGTTTCAAATTGGGATTTTTTCAATTTAAGAAAAAGGAAGACTAAGACTTATACTTTAAATATGTGCATTTTTTTTTTGTTTTAAATGACAATTTAAGGTGTGCATTAACTTATAGAGAGACGTGCATACATTTCTGATAAAATGTTTTCCATACCTAAGAACTCTCTCAAACTCGGCTCGCTCTCTCTGAGCCTGGACTGCCAGGAAGTGTTCTTTCTGTTGCATTTGCTGCGAGCGAGCTTGAATGAGTGCACTCTCCATTTCTGTCTTCTTTCTGGCCTCTTCTGCCTCCTTCTTCCTCCATTCTCTCTCGGCCTGTTCCTGGGCTCTCTTGGCTCGAAGGGCATCACGCTCGGCTTGCTCATCACGAGCACGCTCCTGAAGGGCTCGTAATCTGGCAGTTTCCTTCTCCTTCTCAATCCTGATTCTTTCTTGTTCCTTTTCAAATGCAGCTTCTCTTTCCTAATCAATGAAGACAAATAAATAGATGTATGAGACCTCAAAATATCTTTTTGTATTTTTATAAATGAAGAAAACTTGTGTTATATTTTTCAAGTGAAGCATTTCCTTGATACAACAAGTCTAGTACTGAAAGCAAACGTAAACTTACTGCTTTCTTCTTCATGTATTCTACAACTTTCTGTTCCTCTGCTACTTCTTGCTCCTTTTTGATTTCCCGTCTTCGCAACAAATCTTCATTGGCTTTGTTCAAGTCCTCCTGATGACAAGAAATAAAGGAAACATGTAGCACAATGTATTTAATTTCTGTCAGTTACCTCCCTTTATCCTGTGTCATATACAGAAAGATAGATTACCATTAATTTAAATCATTTTTACCCTTAGTGACATCTGCTCTGCGTGCTTCTTCTCCAGAGCCACTTTATCCTCGTCCATCATTTTTTCGATATATTTCTGCATCTGTATGTTCTCCTGGTCCTTCCTCTCCAAATCAAACAGTCTCTCCTGTTCGTTCTCCTGGATCTGGTCCAGCAGTTTGGCCGCCCCCAGGAGTCGCTCCCCCTTCCTCTTCTTCTCGATCTCCTCCTGGATGGCGATGGCGTTCTGTCTGTCGACCTCCATCATCACGTCCAATCTCTTATCCTCCTCCATCATCTCCCCCTTTATCTGCTTCTTCTCCAGAATCTGAGCATCTCTGATGGCGTGGCATTTTGCATTAAGAATAAGCTACAAAGTAAAATTAAGGTGACTTATCTGAATTTTATATAGAAATGCTAACTTTTTTGCTCACAAAAGTTAAGGAGATCCTTTTAACTATTTTTTAAGTCCATACCTCATTTAAATGTTTAATCTCATCTTCTTGCTCCTGTCTCATGGCATTTGCCTTGGACAACAAATGTTCAGCATTCTCTTTGGCCTCTTGTTCTAAATCATTTAATTTTTCATTTTTCCTTCTCTCCATATCTTTCTGTTTCATCAGATTCTTTCTCTGTTGACTGGCCTCCTAAGTATCATAAAAACAATTTTTAATAGCGATGACTTGCATTGATGAAAAGTTTTGTTTTTTTTGTTGTCTGAATGTTAATAATTGTAAAAGATTATTATTCTATGAAAGTTACAGAATGTAAAATATTTTCTTTGGTTACAAAATAAGACAACTGTCAGTAAAAGAATTAAGTGTGCAATGAGTAAGTTTTTGAAGATTGGTACTGTAATTACCATCATTTCCTCTTTCTGTCTTTTAATGGCAGCTTCTTCGGCTTCCTTCTGTTCCTTTGTTTTGACTTGAGCCTCCATCACCATCCTGTAAAACTCGTGACGCGGGAGAATGATGGACTGCCCAGAGGGGTCCTCACCAGGGACACTGTCAAAAATAAAAAAATACAGTGTAGCAGTAACCAAATAGTTTGCAAGAAATACTTTCACAAACTTAACAGTTAGTATCAATACTTTGTAAGATGTGACTACTGAAGTGGATCCTTACACTAGATTTCTAATTAGATCCTTTGTTATAACTTGAACTGTTTCTTTGTCACTTTTGCCCCTTTTTGAATTTTTCCTCTTTGCACTTCTTTCTCGGGCAAGATCTTCAATGGAGATCCCCTCATCTCTTACATTTTCCATTTTTTCTTTTAACATTTGATTTCTCTGTCCAACATGGTTAGGGGCACCAAACAATGTTTCATCCACCTGAGATGTGTGACTAACAACTCTGTAATTGCGTGTTTTTGCTCTTCTTGAGGATGATGAGGAAGCGGAACTTCCTGCCGCAGAAATTGCACTGCCAGGCTGAAAGTTAAAATACATTAATAGTAATGCTTATAAAAGTATAACCGATGTTTTCATAACATTTCATCATGCTAGGTTTAAAATTGTACTTGATAACTAAATCAGTAGATATTTGAATGAAAATTTTGAAAACAAGTAAAACGCACTATATTGATTTCATTACTTCAAAATACAGTCATTTGTTTCCTTAATCTGAGGAGAACAACCCCAAGAAAAAAATATATCACATTTAAATTTTAAGTTTTAAAATAGTCTTTGACTATATCCAATGCAAATCTGTAAATTAAAGGGAAATAAACGTAAATTTTGAAGGAGTTTTATTAACTTTAAATGATTCTTTTATAATTTTATCGATTTATCTATTTATCAACTTTTAAAAATCAGATCAGACTGGTTTATCTCAAAGTAGACCAAATCACGATATTCTAGTTAGAATTATGGCTGTGAATAACAAATGATTTATCAGAACGTGCCTGCACTGCAACCCATTTTATTTATCATAGATATCATTTACAGACTCATTTCGATTGCTTCTAGATTTAGTTAGTTCTTATTTAAAAATATAAAATAAAAAGAATACTTACCATATTGTATAAATGCTGTTCCTACACTGTTTTTCGATACCCCTTCACTTTATTGTGACATTACCTGCTGCTATTTACAGTCGGTAGTTATGGTTACGCAATGGCGGTCGGTAACAAAGGACGATAACTCATACAAAAATGTTTGATAGATTGTACATAATAACTTCCTGCAGTGTTGAATATATTTTCAACATTTATTTGAATCATGTTATAGTTAACTTATCATCAAAATAAATGAGAAATGGTTTTTTTTTTTAATTTAAAGATCCAAAAATGTCATTGCTTCTTATGTACAATTTAACAAAGTTTAAAACTCGGCATCTCTCTTGCGTTTGCAGAAAGGAATTTTTTTACCACATGAACCTTGCCTTTAATTTACATTGAAAAATTACAAAATGACATCCACATGCTGTGCTTTGATGAAAGTCAGAAGTTTTGGAGGCATTCCACGCCAATCCTTCTGCAGTAAGTATTTAACATTTAGAAACACACTTGTTAATTAACAAATTCTGCTCCAAGTTTGGTAACCTTCGAGCACTAGAAGTTAATGTAAATATATAGTATCGATATGTGCATGTATTAAAAAAAAAAGAAGAAGAAGGACAGGACACTCTTTTTGAGGCAAATTCGGGTTGGGTGAAATTTTGATGTTTTTGTGATACTATTGATTTCATTAAAAACTATTCAAGTTTGCTGTTTTTGAGATCCTTCATGTTGAATCTTATTAACACTTGACAGAAATAACAATTAATACCAAAGATTTCATAAACAATTTTGTTTTGTTTGTGTAGGACGACTTAGCACTAAAGTATTAAAACATGAGGAGAACACTAATACCTCAGACACCTGCAAGACAAACTCTGACATCAGAGCAATGAGAAATCAGATGTTTTCAGAGGAAAAGAAAAGACAATTGTCTTTGATCCGAAGAGTGGAAAAGATCAATGTTGAATACACCGGAATTCCTGAAAATTGTACACTCTACATGAATAAGGACTTATCAAGCCCAAATAATTGTGCTATGCGTGAGTTTTCTTGTTGTAAATGATGAAGAAAAAATTTGTATATACACATTGCTTTAAACCATTCAAAATACATGTCTTAGGTAGTCATTGCAGTATTTCAGGGTGACTTACATGTACAGTGCACTTTTCTTGTAGACATGAAATCTAACATCAGAACTTTAGCAGCCCTAGCTTTGGTAAATGGAGAGGTGTGGGACATGCACCGACCACTGGAGGCAGACTGTTCTCTGCAGTTTTTGAAATTCCGAGACAGCGATCCAGGGTTATTAAACAAGGTAATTTTGACTGAGTATGATATGAATATTTTCCCTCTAAGTTTCATATTTTGTGGAGCAGATGCTATATGTATGCCTTCTGTAGTAGGCTATGTTAGATCATATTTCTGATTTATTTATTTACAGGCATTCTGGAGAACTGGATCATTTTTAATTGGCTATGTATTTGATCGTGCATATAAAGATGAACACAGAGTTAATGTAATACAGTTTCCTAATAACCCAATTGGTAAAGATTTTAAAATGTTTTGTTTTTCTAATTTTTTCAAGAAAAATATGATATAGTCTGTAGAGATTGCTGTTGAATTCATGTTTTCTTATTTTACCTTTATTTATTTCTGAATATTAGTTGAAGATGGCTATTTTTGCTGTGACCTTGACCTAGGATCTATGAATTCCTGGCAACCATTACCAGTGAGTTTCAGTTGACCATTCACTTCTCCAAACACATTTCTCTCAGTTTGTAATGCACTTATGTCTACATGTAATTAAATTTTGCAAGATCATAGTTTGATTTGGATGGTAAAATGAATCAAAATTGATCACTCTTTTAATGAATATACAGAATGATATACCATAGAAAATATCACAAAAAAGTCATGTTAATATTACTGTGTTTAAAATGTTTCCAGGATGAGCTGAGAGCTATGTCTATGATAGTGTGCTGTCTAACCATGTTAATATTATGATGTTTAATGTTTCTAGGATGAGCTCAGAGCTACTGTATCCAGGGAAATTTTCGCCCCCGTTTTATTTTCGCCCCTTTCGCTCTATTCATGACTGGGCGAATTTAAAACGGGGCAAATTCAAATTACACTGCATAATTTCTTAAACAGAACTATGACTGGGCGAATTTAAAATTGGGCAAAATTGTTCTCAAGTGCAAAAGGGCGAAAATAAGCCTGTATACAGTATGTCTATGATAGGGAGCTGTCTAGCCATGTTAATGTTATGATGTTTAATGTTTGCAGGATGAGCTGAGAGCTATGTCTATGATAGGGAGCTGTCTAGCTAAAGAGGAGTCACACTTTGAGCGCCTGGAGGTGGATGAGAAGTTAGCCTTAGAAATGTTTAAAGACAATGAATACAAGTGTAAGCAGATACCAGAGATAGCCGCTTCCTCTCCCTCTGGGTCGAGGGTCACGATGTACAGACTGAGGGACTACGTAGACATCACTACAGGACCACTCATCGCCAGTACACTCTTCATCTCCATGTACAACATTGTCAAGGTCAGGAAAATCTTATCTGACTAGGTGTTCAAAACAAACCTCTCTACTGATTTACTCCAAACTTTGATTTATTCTGAGTAATTGTTAATAATTGTACATTGGCGGATCCAGAGGGGGGGTTCCGGGGGTTGGAACCCCCCCTTTAATATTTGCCAAGTGGAGAGAGAGGGGATAAAAAGTATTCCGAAAATAAATAATTGTACGTCTAACTCATGTATTGAATAGATAGATTCTCACAAATTTAGTTGCTTCAATTCACCTTCACAATTACTTTTTTTTATCCTGAGAGAATGGTAGAAAATATTCTACTTATTTTTATATCTTATATATATATGTTATGAACCTTCCGAGGTTTAATTTAATATTCGATGCCCGCGATCTTTGGCTGTGTTGACTGCTTATGTACCTTTTTTTGATCATATCTTTTAAAGGAACTAACATGTAACTCTTTGTTTTAAACCCAACACGAACCCCACCCCAAAAGAGTTTTTTTTTTCAAATTCTAAAAAAAGTCTTTGTACTCCTTGGGAATGCCGCAAATCCATTTAATTTTAAGGCTTCAGAAGTTTTTGAAATGTGTTTGTTTTTTTTATTCGGACCGGGGGCACCTTTTCAAAGAAAAAAAGGGACGTAAAACCAGGGACCTATATATTAAAGTGGCACAGTGACGCACAAAGGGGAAAATTGACAAATGTAGAATTTTCGCATGACCTCTGTAAATTTTGTTCAATTCCTTAAAGTATTAGGTTTCAGAAAATTACAGGTTTCAAAGCCTACAAATTAAATTTTTATGGGGAAAAATAAAAGTAAAAATAATTTCTGTCTGCCCCAGAACGAAAATATTGCTAAATACCCTGGTACTTCTTCCTCCCTATTGTACGCTTGCGCAGAAAAGTGTTGAATAAGTTTCCATAGTTACCATGGTCTCAGGTATCCACGAATGAATATAAGTAGACCAAAAAATTTGATGTAATCTTTTTAAAAAGTTGTTAGAACATATTTCTCACCTTTGCATGCTCCAGTTGAATTTTGTTTACAAGTTTGAGCTAAAAATAAGAGTAGCGTGACCTTGACATATACGAAACAACGAAACGGTAGATACAACCTTTGTTTTTCCGGCACTTACATTGTGCAGTCAATTCTTGCAGTTTAATTGTCATATCTTCTCTATATACTCAAAATTTTCATTAGTCTTTCTCTGTATGCTACAGATATCTTAAAATTAAGATATGATTTTGACTCACTGTGCCGCTTTAATATATGTTTATTCACCAATCAAGGGCCCACGGGGGGCATGAACAAATTATTACAATATGATAACATTGATTACAATTCTATATTGTATAATGTAACATGACTAGTGATTAGGTATGACTATATACTAATATTATATAGTGTATTAGTATAAAGATCCCTGGGAAAACAGATCTTCAACCTTATAGATCTTTCCATACGTGTGTGTGTGAATCTTTGCTTGAGAGTATGTTGGGGGAGGGGGGTAAAAGGACAGAACCCTGGAACCCCCCCCCCTTTCAAAAATGGCTGGATCCGCCCCTGTTGTAAGAAATTGATATCTGTGAAAAGGAGAAAGGGGTCATATTTTTGATCCTTTGTTTAGCTTTGATCCTTTGTTTAGCTTACAAAAAAAAAACCCTGATAATATTGGATGTTCCTGTTTAGCTTACGAAGGTTTGTATTTTGAAAATCATAAGCTCAGAATTGGTCCATGTAGAATATGATTATTTATACAGGTGTTTCCAATGAAGTGTCCAGTTAATGGTGACATTACAAGAGTACAGGGAATAGCCTTGCCTCCAGAATTACAGGTAAATAAACCTATTTCTGAAAATTTCTAATTTTGGTCTGTGTGTGTAAGTCGGTAACAAACCGACAACCAACAGTACAAACATAAAGACATACAATTTGTCCGTAACATACATGTACATTCATGCATTTTTTTTTTTTTAACAATTTTTAAAGGAATTCTACGTTAAGCAATACAAGTGAAATTTATTTTTTTCCTTTAAATTACAGATACATTATAAAGCTTATGAATTACTGTTAGAGAGGGCGCAAAGAATGGTGAGTAAAGTATAAACATATCGTACCCACTCCATTTTTAGCATTTATACTGGTACATTTAATCTGTTACCTATGATCAGATGGTTCAAGTTTTCTACCCCGAAACTGAAACAAGAGGCCCATGGGCCACATCGCTCACCTGAGCACCTTTGGTCGGCCATTGTGGCCCCGCCCTACCCCCGGGGGTCATGATATGAACAAACTTGAATTTACACTTGAGGATGCTTCCCTATAAATATGATCAATCATGGCTTGGCTATTCTTGAGAAAAAGATTTTTAAAGAATTTTCCTATATATTTCTATGTAAAACTTTCATCTTTGGTTGGCCATTTTGGCCACGCCCTACCCCCGGGGGTCATGATTTGAACAAACTTGCATCTACACTACCTGAGAATACTTCCATATAAATATGATCAATTATGGCTTGGCTGTTCATGAGAAGAAGATTTTTAAAGAATTTTCCTATATATTTCTATGTAACACTTTGGTCGGCCATTGTGGCCCCGCCCTACCCCCAGGGGTCATGATTTGAACAAACTTGAATCTACACTACCTGAGGATGCTTCCATATAAATATGATCAATTATTGTTAGGCTATTCTTGAGAAGAAGATTTTTAAAGAATTTTCCTATATATTTCTATGTAACACTTTGGTCGGCCATTGTGGCCCCACCCTACCCCCGGGGGTCATGATTTGAACAAACTTGAATCTACACTACCTGAGGATGCTTCCATGTAAATATGATCAATCATGGCTAGGCTATTCTTGAGAAGAAAATTTTTAAAGAATTTTCCTATATATTTCTATGTAAAACTTTGGTCGGCCATTTTGGCCCCGCCCTACCCCCGAGGGTCATGATTTGAACAAACTTGAAACTACATTACCTGAGGATGTTTCCATATAAATATGATGAATTATGGCTTTGTCATTCTTGAGAAGAAGATTTTTAAAGAATATTCCTATATATTTCTATGTAAAACTTTGGTCGGCCATTTTGGCCCCGCCCTACCCCCGGGGGTCATGATTTGAACAAACTTGAATCTATACAAGTTTCATCTTTCCTGGCACAGTGGTTCTTAAGAAGAAGATTTTTAAAGCATACCACCAAATTTTCATTTATTCCCAATTATCTCCCCTTGAATGAGGGCGTGGCCCTTCATTTGAACAAACTTGAATTTTGCTTTGTGGCAAGTTTGGTTGAAATTGGCCCAGGGGTTCTTGAGAAGAAGTCGAAAATGTGAAAGTTTACAGACAGACAGCAGACAGACGCCGGACAAAATGTGATCAAAAAGCTGCCTTCGGCTCAGGTGAGCTAAAAATGAAATTAAAAAAATGTAATTGAGAAAGCAATTTCATTATTAAATATTTACATTTGCTGTGTTTTTCTAGTAAGCCAACTGTGAAATTGATTTGAAAACCTTTTTTGTGTATACTCACGTGTAGAAATATACTCGGAGAAATGTGCTTCAACGTGACATCACAATAAGGCTACAGCGATGTTAGTAAAAGAATGATATAGGGCAGTGAGAAATTCAAATATTGAGTATATTTTTGGTACTTCCAAACATGTAAAATGTAAATGTAAGGAATGTTTTTGAGTTTAGTGCGAGTTATTGGTGTGTGAATCACTCAGCTAGCGCGCTTCATGAAATATGCCTACGTGACAAGTCTGTGTGATTCACACACCAATAACTCACACAAAACTCAAAAACATTCCTTAAATAAATCTTTGTACAGGTATATAAACTTAAAATATAGATAACTCTTATGAGTTACGTTGCTTGTTGTGTATTAGACATGTCAAATGAAATAAGACCAGTACTTGACACTTTTGGCCTGTTTTCCAGGCAGCATCTACTACATGTGATTTCTGTTTAAATCACATCCACAATACTGGTCTCATATGCCGCTCTAGGATAAGAAAGATAACTCCTTACACTGCAACTCTACAGCAAATGCTCTCAAACATTTTGTACTGTACTAATTGTTCCCTATGAAAACACCCCATAAATGACATTAGTGATGTGGCATAGCAGCACATTATGTAACTGTGTTCAGTGTTTTGCAAAACTGCAACAGATTCAAAAATACATGATGTAACATAGCAAATAGCAGTATGTCTAAAATAGCACTAGTTTTTCAGATGGTAGGAATCAGTGAGAGACAGTATTGTCCAGAAAAGGAACATAAGGTCGCATAATATAATATTTTCTTTTTTTATTTTACAGGGTGTTGAAGATCCGTACAGGGAATCTCAATAACAATGTAGTCACAGATTTACAATAAATTATGTTTGTTTACATTTTATTTCAAACTGCCTTGTCTGTTTTTATGTTGTAAGGAAATGATTGATTGCATGTTGTTTAACATCCCTTTTGAGAATTTCTCACTCATGGAGACGCCGCTGCTTGCTGGTGGAGCTACAAATTTTGTCCTATACTTGGCACTCAGGGCCATTGAGCAGGGATGGATCTTTTTCGTGCCAGCACCTACTGCGACACGGGACCTTGGTTTATACAGTCTCATCCACAGGACTGGTCTCCACCTCCCACAGAAAAGAATCATTTGAATATCTTTATGAATTGCGAAATTTTAAAGCCTATTTCTCAGACAATTTTCCTCCTTCAGTTCTTTAACACATCTATGTGATCCCATTTGAAACAGTAACAAAACACATAATCTGTGATTTATTGAGTAATTTGAGCACTTTCATAACAATACATACATGATTGGAATCAGAAGCTGGAGTTGGATAGGAGAGAGAAGAGTTAACAGTTTAAACAGAATGCACTGGTGAATTACATGGCAACGGATAGATGTACATCTCATCATAGCTTTCAAGACAACTTACTGTTCTTAAATTAAAAGTAAATGACAAAATAAATTAATGACAAAACATCATAGCACAGGGATAACACTTACAATACAGAACATTTGTAACCTGTATTAATCAACGTCTGAAAAATCTAAACACTATCCAATGAGAATGTAATACATTTGGCACCAGTCAATATTCAGTTCATAATTTGTCAACTAACAGCAGTCTCTCTGTTCTCCTCCAGATGTCTTATCTAACCTCTACCCCTCAGGTGCCCCTCTCAGTTGTCAATGAGCCCCCTTCCCCCTCAGTCGTCATTGAGCCCCCTTCCCCCTCAGTCGTCATTGAGTCCCCTCCCCCCTCAGTCGTCATTGAGTCCCCTCCCCCCTCAGTCGTCATTGACTCCCTGTCCGTGGACCTCTGGCACCTTCAGCTCGTGGGGTTCCCCGCCTCTCTCTGAAATCCCCATGTCATGAGCCAGAGTCCGACCCTGAAAATCAAATGTTTTGTTAGTCATGTAAATTGTATTCGGCAATCAAGCTAGATTGTATTTTATGATCCATAAAGTATTCATAATCTAAATAAAGATCAGTTAACGTGCAGAATATCTAAACTTATTCTAACCTCCTGAAAGAGTCTGTGAAATTCCTCAGCTGCGGGTACAGAACTGAATACAGCCCTGAATCCCCTTCTGACTGGCTCATCTGTAGCAAAGTCTATAGGGTGCCACTCACAGAAATGCTGCTTCTTGTCCCTGTTCAAGAAAATTAATGTGAATCATTTCAATTATAAATGGTATAAACTTCCTAATATTACAAATAAAGTGACACACTATAACTTTAAGCTTTTATAAAGAGCATACTGTAATTGTACATAAATTGATGTATTTAAAATTTTCCACAGTCACTTGGTGAAGAATGGTTGATGTACTCATAAAGAAGCGCAACATACTTTGGTACTATTTATTGTATTGATTGATTAATTCTTAGTGGTATTCATGAATTAACGCTTCATTGTCTGCGCCAGAGCTGGTAAAATATGAAGCCTGCATTAATAAGTACATATACAGTATAAATGTTAAAAGACTCTGAGGTTCTGTGATTTCATGGATACTTACAGAACAATGCTGGACTCCACTGCGATGACGTGGTTACAGAGATTCTCTTTTTTATCTGTGGTGAAGATCACTCTGTGTCCCATAACATCATCATCAGAAATCACCTTCAATACGCCTGTCCCACACTTCTACAAAACAATAAATCTTCATCAGAAATACATGTAAATTTCAAAACACCTGTTACAGATTTTAATGTTCAAGGGCAGCCTTACTTTTCCTAGTTCAAGTCGTCATAATTCTGTGTGTAACTTGTACAAGTAGTAAGTTGTGAATGTATATTGATTTGCAATCATTATTGTTATATTTCACGTCCCATGAGGCCCTAATTTGGAAATAAATTCTATTCTGTATGCAGAAAAATTCAAAGATCCAAAACTTGTACTATTATTCATCAATGTGTATACAGTAAAACTCAGTTATAACGGAGTCACTGGGACCTCTTATATTACTTCGCTATGTCCGTAATTCATTATATACGTATAAGGAATTTGTTACATTTGTATAGCTGGGGATACAAGATAACTTCGCTATATCCGTGATTTCGCAAAATCCGTGTTCATACTAAGCGAGTTTTACTGTAATTGTGTTTAAGGGTGACCCACAAAATCAACATTTTTGGTCCCCATAAACAATGTGATTAAAGTTGTTTTTCTGCCTAATATCAAGCATTAATAATTACAAAAATCTGACCAAAACTGTAGGAATAGCATCTTGATAACAGACAGACAGCTGGACATTTTATCTCGCTGCTCTTCACATGGCTAAATATAGACCAAACACATGTAACTGTACACTACTTACCTTCCATTGGTTGATTTATCTGTACACTACTAACCTTCCATTGGTTGATTTATCTGTACACTACTTACCTTCCATTGGTTGATTTATCTGTACACTACTTACCTTCCATTGGTTGATTTATCTGTACACTACTAACCTTCCATTAGTTGATTTATCTGTACACTACTAACCTTCCATTGGTTGATTTATCTGTACACTACTTACCTTCCATTGGTTGATTTATCTGTACACTACTTACCTTCCATTGGTTGATTTATCTGTACACTACTTACCTTCTATTGGTTGATTTATCTGTACACTACTTACCTTCCATTGGTTGATTTATCTGTACACTACTTACCTTCCATTGGTTGATTCTGTACACTACTTACCTTCCATTGGTTGATTTAATTTATCTGTACACTACTTACCTTCCATTGGTTGATTTAATTTATCTGTACACTACTTACCTTCCACTGGTTGATTTATCTGTACACTACTTACCTTCCATTGGTTGATTTATCTGTACACTACGTACCTTCCATTGGTTGATTTATCTGTACACTACTTACCTTCCATTGGTTGATTTATCTGTACACTACTTACCTTCCATTGGTTAATTTATCTGTACACTACTTACCTTCCATTGGTTGATTTCATTTATCTGTACACTACTTACCTTCCATTGGTTGATTTAATTTATCTGTACACTACTTACCTTCCATTGGTTGATTTATCTGTACACTACTTACCTTCCATTGGTTGATTTATCTGTACACTACTTACCTTCCATTGGTTGATTTATCTGTACACTACTTACCTTCCATTGGTTAATTTATCTGTACACTACTAACCTTCCATTGGTTGATTTAATTTATCTGTACACTACTTACCATCCATTGGTTGATTTATCTGTACACTACTTACCTTCCATTGGTCGGCCTCCATCATCTGAAAGGTCACACGCTTCTCCAGCAGGATTTCTTCTTCAACATCATCATATTCATCATCGTCTTCATCATCATCAACGTCCTCATATTCATCATCATCTCCCTCTCCACGATTTTCTTCTGATGATTCTTCCTCAGTTGAAGCACCTTGAACATACATAAAACTAGGAAATTGACAAGTGAGCGAGGAAAACTCTTAGGATTATATATACACAAAATTGACAGGTAAGGACATCTCTGAGAAATATTTATAAAGAAAACTGACAAATAAGCAATGAAGTCTTGGAGGTTCTGTATATAATGGGGGACAGGAGGGATAAGATTGTGATATCTCTATACACCTTTATTATAAAAACTAAAGGAAAAAGAAACCAGATTTAAATTGAGGCCTTTTATTAATTCTTTACCCGACTTTTTGCCTCCCCTATAAATCCCCCGCCCCACTAGTGGCCTACCGGTCTGTTGTTTGTCTGTGGTGTCCTGGGGAGGATTTTCTATCAGGTCATTCTGACATTCATCAATCTTCGCCTTGAATTCTTTGGCTAAATCAACACTCTGTAATAAACAAGCATTTACAACATCAACATGATCAACTGTAATGCATGATAAAGAGAAACTTTGATTTAGAAACTATTTTACAGGAATACAAAAAGACCTTTTGCAGTAACAGCTAATATTTGCCCCAAAAATTGTGACAAAGAAATCTACATGTTATTCATCAAATGTAATGTATTTCAAAACATCAGGAGTTTTCAATGATACACGTACATGAATATTGGAAAGAACTATATGCGGTATATTGCATATGTTTGCCCCCACAAAAGTCAAATTTTGAAAACTTCCTGAAATGTGCTGAATTCAATAAATATTACGAGAAATATAAGTTAACAGAAAATATTATAGTTCCAGAGCAGTGTATTCACAGTTTCTGTTTTTATGACATCACAAACTAGTCCGATTTTATATCCTTTTTCAGAAAGAGGACAAAATGGACAAAATTTCAACAATTTAAGCTTTAAAATTTATAGAGCGCATGTGTGTTCAGGAACAATATTGATATATTTCATTGATATTATCATTCTACACATAATATCAAAATATTAATCCTGAACACACATGCGCTCGGTGACTTTTATTTAAAATATCGACGAAATATGTACATTTTTCTGCAAAATTCATAAAAAACTGAAATTACGTCATATTTGTGACGTCATTACGTACATATGACGTCATTACTTAGAAACTTTGGTTTACAAATTATTCAGTGCTTTGAAATCAGCATATACTCCCCTGTTTAAGGACTTAATTAAATATTACTCCATCAAAGTTTGATTTTGGGGGGCAAATGTTGGTTAATACCGCATATAGTTCTTTCATTTAACTTTAATTTTAATCATGTAAATTGGTTGAGAGAGAAATTAGTTTACACTCAGTCTTTGAATTTAGATACTTCTAGAGAGCACATACTGTATTAATATGAAATTTAGACTGATGACATCAATGAGGTGTGACAATGAAACTAAGACAAGCTTGTGCTCCTCAAATCTCAATTTCATAGCGGAAATCTCTGTCATTAAAAAGGAAATATTTAAGTTGAAGACTGACATCATGGAAACAAAAAAACCATAACAAACAATTTTCATTTCCACTATGACATTATTTAAAGATTTGACAGTCTTGGGGCAGATCTGACCATATTATGTCATCTCTTGTAACTCTACAGTAACACTCAGTTATAGCGAAGTCACAGGGACCAATAACATTACTTCGCTATATCCGTATAAGGAATTTATATAGCTGAGGGATGTTATATAAGCTATATCTGTGAATTCGCTATATCCATGTTCGTACTAAACGAGTTTTGCTGTAGTACCTTAAACTTAACAGCAAGCTGCTCCAACTTTGGTTCATTGTCACTGAAATCCTGTCCAACCCAACACCAAGCTGTCTCAGAGGTTGCCATTGGCTGGAACTTGAGGTCAGAGGTCAGATTCTGATTACAAGCTAGCTTATACACCTGCTCTCTTCGCAGCAGTAGTCTGTAATGTCCTACAACAGACAAGAAGTCAGAAATCAATATATAAATTCCATCTTAACTTTATCTAATATCATTTATGAATCAGCCATTCTAATAATAACAAGTTCTGTACTGGCAATGTTTATCTTGTAGCTGGTACATAATAATTGGAGTAGTTTAAGTTTATACATGTACAGGTATTTTGAAGTCTTGATGCAACTGACTGAAAAACTTTGTAAGGAGGAAGATTATCCCCCCCCCCCTTCCTAAAAGACAAATATATAGGTGGAATAGGTCAAATAGCAAATCAAAAAACAATACTTAGTCTAGTCTTTTCTAGACTGAAGATTTAACATTCACAGTCTTACCTGTTCCAGTGTGTCTTAGAATCTTCATTTCCCCGATTCCTTTCTCCTTCCACTGTTTTGTGTCTCCGTCATAGCGGAACAGCTTGGCTCGATGACTGAAGATTTTTTCATGATCCTCCTCTCCTAAAAGACAAGTAAAACACAGTTAAATGGAATGCTGTTCTACTGATATGTTATGATATGGTAGGTATTTTGACCTCCACAAAGTCAGGGTAGGTGTGTATTACCTGTTTTGACCTCCACAAGGTCAGAGCAGGTGTGTATTACCTGTTTTGACCTCCCCAAAGTCAGGGTAGGTGTGTATTACCTGTTTTGACCTCCACAAAGTCAGGGTAGGTGTGTATTACCTGTTTTGACCTCCACAAGGTCAGGGAGGGGGACCACTGGTTCAAAATGAGGATCCTCCCCCTGGGCTACTTCATCTCCCTCCTCATCTCTGTCCTCATGGGTGAAGAGTTTCTGCCCCGCTCCCATCCAATTAAATGGTTTACTGTCATCTACCAAAACAAAGACTTCAATTATCAAACACGATGGTACTTGTAACAAGAGGCCCATGGGCCACATCGCTCACCTGAGCACTGAGGGTAGGAAAAAATAGAAAATGGCTTTTTATTGTAAAGTTTAAATCCAAAAGTAGTCCCATGACCAATCATGGATTTGCTATTTTTAGAAAATGATTTTTTAAGAATTTTCCTATATATAACTTTGAAAACTTTGGTCGGCCATTTTGGCCCCTCCCTGCCCCAGGGGGTCATGATTTGAACAAATTTGAATCTACACTACTTGAGCATGCTTCCATATATATATGATGAATTATGGCTTTGTCATTCTTGAGAAGAAGATTTTTAAAGAATTTTCCTATATATTTCTATGTAAAACTTTGGTCGGCCATTTTAGCCCCGCAATACCCCTGGGGGTCATGATTTGAACAAACTTGAATCTACACTACCTGAGCATGCTTCCATATAAATATGATAAATTATGGCTTTGTCATTCTTGAGAAGAAGATTTTTAAAGAATTTTCCTATATATTTCTATGTAAAACTTTAGTCGGCCATTTTGGACCCGCCCTACCCCCGGGGGTCATGATTTGAACAAACTTGAGTCTACACTACCTGAACATGCTTCCATATAAATATGATGAATTATGGCTTTGTCATTCTTGAGAAGAAGATGTTTAAAGAATTTTCCCATATATTTCTATGTAAAACTTTGGTCGGCCATTTTGGCCCCGCCCTACCCCCGGGAGTCAGGATTTGAACAAACTAGAATCTACACTACCTGAGCATGTTTCCATATAAATATGATGAATAATGGCTTTGTCATTCTTGGGAAGAAAATTTTTAAAGAATTTTCCTATATATTTCTATGTAAAACTTTGGTCGGCCATTTTGGCCCCTCCCTACCCCCGGGGGCCATGATTTGAACAAACTTGAATCTACACTACCTGAACATGCTTCCATATAAATATGATGAATTATGGCTTTGTCATTCTTGAGAAGAAGATGTTTAAAGAATTTTCCAATATATTTCTATGTAAAACTTTGGTCGGCCAATTTGGCCCCGCCCTACCCCCGGGAGTCAGGATTTGAACAAACTTGAATCTACACTACCTGAACATGCTTCCATATAAATATGATGAATAATGGCTTTGTCATTCTTGGGAAGAAAATTTTTAAATAATTTTCCTTTATATTTCTATGTAAAACTTTGGTCGGCCATTTTGGCCCCGCCCTCCCCCATTCCATGATTTGAACAAACTTGAATCTACACTACCTGAACATGCTTCCATATAAATATGATGAATAATGGCTTTGTCATTCTTGGGAAGAAAATTTTTTAAGAATTTTCCTATATATTTCTATGTAAAACTTTGGTCGGCCATTTTGGCCCCGCCCTACCCCCGGGGGCCATGATTTGAACAAACTTGAATCTACACTACCTGAACATGCTTCCATATAAATATGATGAATTATGGCTTTGTCATTCTTGAGAAGAAGATGTTTAAAGAATTTTCCAATATATTTCTATGTAAAACTTTGGTCGGCCATTTTAGCCCCGCCCTACCCCCGGGGGTCATGATTTGAACAAACTTGAATCTACACTACCTGAGCATGCTCCCATATAAATATGATGAATAATGGCTTTGTCATTCTTGAGAAGAAGATGTTTAAAGAATTTTCCTATATATTTCTATGTAAAACTTTGGTCGGCATTTTGGCCCCGCCCTACCCCCGGGGGTCATGATTTGAACAAACTTGAATCTACACTACCTGAAGATGTTTCCCCATAAGTTTCATCTTTCCTGGCACAGTGGTTCTTGAGAAGAAGATTTTTAAAATGTGCCACCAAATTTTCATTAATTCCCAATTATCTCCCCTTGAATGAGAGCGTGGCCCTTCATTTGAACAAACTTGAATCCTCTTCACCCAAGGATACTTTGTGGCAAGTTTGGTTGAAATTGGCCCAGCGGTTCTTGAGAGGAAGTCAAAAACGTGAAAAGTTTACAGACAGACAGACGGACGGACAGACAGACGGACAGACGGACGGACAGACAGACAGACAGACAGACAGACGGACGCCGGACAAAATGTGATCAGAAAAGCTCACTTGAGCCTCCGGCTCAGGTGAGCTAAAAATTGTTAAATAAAGATTTCGAAACCCTTTTGAAATTCAAAGGAATCTAAAAAGTATTCAAAATTTTCACTGAGGCATGACTTCCTTTCTCTGATATCTTTTGCAATTTGGTCATTTTCCAATAATGAATAACTGATAACAAGAACACATTAACACTTTTAAGGACCTTTTTTGAAGGCATTAGCATCTGTTCCTGAGCTGGCAGCCAGGCCTGAGAAGGAGAATCCAGAGCCACCTCCCCCTCCAAAGACTCCCCCCGCTGACCTCTGACCAAACAGACTAGGGGTGTCACCAGTATCTCCTCCTCCTGTAGCCTGAGCACCAAACAACCCACCAGGGGGAGCTGCTGAGGCACCAAATATACCTCCAGAGGACAAAGAGCTGGACATCTCATCTACTTTCAACAATATACAAATATTTATAAAGCAAGAATTACAGATCAAAAATTGCATTAGAACTATGCTACCATTAATTAGAAGTTACATGTATAGCAATTTCAGGTACATGTCTATTTACTGACAAAAAATCAGTACTGTTTTGCAGCTAAGTGGTGAAATAGATTAAACGAATACCTTGATTTTTCTTTGGGGTAGGTGTCCTTGTTTTCCTCGAGATTTTTGTCCCTTCTTGGTAATCTTCACAGCCAATACAGCCCGGGCAGGGTGGGGCTTTCTCATAGAGATAGAAGTGGTCAGGTAACAGGAACTTCCTAGCCAGCTCTATCTGCTCGGGAGTCGCTTTATCTTCCTTAACCAGCACTACATCCTCATCCTGGCTCAACAGAGACTGGAGACTGGTGGGAGGTTTAGAAGGTCCAGCAGACACAGCAGGGGAACCTGGGGCTGAACTCTGTCCACAAACCTTCTGCTTGGCTTTATCAAATGCTTCCTTGAACCTATTGGCAATGTCAGGAGTTTTGAAACGAACTGAAAAATTTTCATACTTTGGTTCCTCATCAGAGTGGTCCATAGCGAACCAAATCCAAGCTTTTCCATTTGAGTTTGGCATGGGTTTTAAGTCAAGTTTTGTAGTGATGTAGTGGTTACAGCATATCTTATGGATTTGTTCACGTCTCATCAAAATTCTGATTTTCTTTGTCTGTTCATTTTCTAAAATTTTAATATCTCCCAGTCCCCGCTCCTTCCATTCATTGTTGTGGAAGCGGTAAAGTTTAGCACGATGTGCGAACAATACCGTCTCGTTCTCTTCCCCTGTCACTACGTCCACCTTTTCTGGGAGATTAATCACCGGCTCAAAGTAAATATGATCGTCCTCTCCCTCCTTGTTGATGTACATTCCCTCCTTATCTACCTCTGGAGACCCCGGTACAGTTGAACTGGACTTTGGGGGAGAGAAGGTGAACTTAAACAGACTTTTTTCTTTGCTGTCTGATGCTGAATCCAACTTGAACTGAAATCCAGATTTTCCACTGCTGTCTGCACCAAACACTGGGGGTTCCTTACTGAAGGTGAATGCTTTAGAACTGGACTCCTCCTGCTTTCCCTCAGGTTTGGGAGGTTCTGCAGACTTTGGCTGAGTGCTGGTTGCGGCTGTGGTTGAATCAGGCTTCTGCTCTGGTGATTTGGATCCCAAGTTAAATGATTTCTGTCCAAATGTAAAACCAGCAGTTCTTGATGATCCAAAGTCCAATTCTGATTTGGATTCCTCTGATTTGGTTTCAGTCTTTTTGTCAGCTTCTGCAGATGAGTCTGCTTTCTCCTCTTTTGTTGGTTGACTCCCAAAAGCAAAACTTGAACTTTTAATTCCACCAAAGTTAAATCCAGTTGATTCAGAGGATCCTGTTGTTTTGGAAGCAGACGTTCCGAATACAAACCCTTGACCAGACGTGCCTGACTGAGTGGTGGAGGCTGAGGTCACCTCAGGCTTTGTTGCGGGGGAACCAAACACTACTTCTGGTTTAGCAGAGGTCGTTTTTGTAGCAGGAGACCCAAAACTGAAGCCAGCAGAGGTTGGTGTTGTGTCTGCTGTTGTTTCCGCTGGAGTTCCAAAGTTGAAGCTGGAGGTTGTGGTGGAGTCTGCTGTTGTTTTATCTGTTTTACCAAATGTGAATCCAGAAGTTTTTGTGGAGTCTGCAGTTGCTGTTTTACCAAATGTGAAGCCACCAGTCGATGCAGCAGTGACAGTAGATGTGGTAGTTGTCTTTGTAGTTGAGGTACCAAATACAAATCCCCCTCCTGATGAACTGCTGGAAGTCGTTGTTGCTGGGGTTCCAAACACAAATCCTCCAGATGGAGCTGCAGAGTTAGCAGTGGTTGTTGTGGTAAATATTTGTAACTTCCACTACCAGTTGATGCATTTAATATAAAAAAATGTGTGATTTATATATTTGAAACAATTTAGAATGTGATTTTTGTGTTTACAACAACACAAAAATATCAATCTTGACAAAAAACGAGTACAAATTACATGCATTTAAGTAGCTGTAACAAGACTCTTTTAATAAATAAGCATTTCCAGTTTTAAAATAATCTTTCTTACACTAGCGTTATTCTAGTAAAATTAATGAGGTAGGACAGACCTGCTGACTGTACTCCAGGCCCCTTGGTGTCCTCCTTGACATCCTCTGGCTTGACCCCTGGCTTTAGAGTGTTACAGGCCACACAACGTAACTTATCAGCCTCGTTCTGGATCAGACAGCCGTCACATGACCAGGATCCAGGCTTAGGTTTAAACATGGCCGCCAGGCTGGGCTTTTCTGTCTTTGGTGTACTCTTCTTGATGGCCTCCTTGACCAGTTTAGGGTCAGAACCTGGCTTCCCTGTGTTACATGCCAAACAGAAGATGGCATCACGATCATTAGGAACCATGCAAGTGTCACAGGTCCAGGTCCCCTCCTTGGGTTTAAACATCTCCTTTAAAGACATTTGTTTACCTTCAGTTGGTGCTTCTGGTTTTGAATTATCTTCCTTAGACACTGAAATGTTTAGTAAACACAACAAATCATTTATATATCAAAACACGTTTTAAAACATCTAATCTATAATATTTACATTTTTGTAACAGAAATCAATTTTGTAGGTGATGATTTTACCTTCTGTTTTACCCGTCTCCTTTGTCTCTGTAGTACAGGACACATCCTCTGCCTCACTTTGACATTTCTCAAACACCTCCTTAAATCTCTCAGCCAGATCCGGCGTCTTGAACCTGACGGCGAGGCTCTGCACCTTAAGTTCCTCCTCGGAGTAATCGTTGGCGACCCAGCACCACGTCTTGTCGGAGTTGGCCATCGTTGACAGCTTTAAGTCTTTGGTAATCTGGTGGTTGGCACAAAGCTTGAGCACCTGCTCTCGCCTCATCATGATTCTCGACTTGTTGGAGCCGCGATGCTTCAGGATCTTCATTTCTCCGATCCCCCTCTCCTTCCACTGATTGGAGTCGGCATCGAAGCGGAACAGCTTGGCCCTCTGACAGAACAGTACCTCCTCCTCCTCCTCCCCACTTCTGACTTCTACAAGGTTTGGTAGATCTATAACAGGCTTGAAGTCCACATTAGGTTCATATTCCTCCATTGTCATACTGTCGTTTCGTTTACGTGGGGATGGTGTGGAATGTGATGAAGTATTAGCAGGAATCTGTTTGACAGGACTGGTAACAGGAGTGGTGGCTGCCCCAAATCCCTGAAGTCAGAAATGTTGATCAATTCAAGTTACATGCACATATCAATGTACCTACTACAAAGGAAAACAAACTTTATTCTTTTAATACAGTTTAACATTTATACATGAAGAAATACACCACTTACTGTAGCAGGCTTGTCGGTTCTAAGTGCACTGAATGATGGTAGGTTTGACGACCCAAATCCAGTGAAAGCTGCAAAAGGAGAAGCTGTGGCAGAGGTTTCCGTGGATGAGGTGGTAGCAGGGGTGGTTCCAAACACCGGTTTGTTAAATGAGAACACAGATCCACCACCAAGTTGACTGGCAGATGTCGATCCTGACACTGAAGAGGTTGGTACTTGCGGATTTGCTCCAAATCCAGTAAAGGTAAAGGGCATGGAACTGCTCTGGGTGGCTGGGACACCACTCTGACTCGTGGTGCCCCCACCCTGGGATGGGGTAGTGCTGGTGGACAGAGTGGAGGGTAGGAATGAGAATGGCTTGTTCTGTCCAGCTAGCTCACCAGTCATGACCTTGTCTGGGGATTTGGAGGCCGCCATCAGACTACCAAACAGTGGTAGGGAGGAGCCCACTGAAGTTGTATATGTTATACAGTTAGCAAAATTCATAAGTACAGAATCTTGTTTGAATAAAACTTCAGTACAGTAAAGAGTATTAAAGAAATTGAATTCAGATTTTAGTGTTGATAAAATAAAACAATTAACAGGACTGAGAACAATTTAAATGCAGATTAGTCTAATTAATGGATTCCAAAGATTATCATTTGCTTCAATTCCCCCATTACAGTGTCCTAGGTTACACATACCTGTTCCACCAGTGGATGAGAGAGCAGCTGACATGCTGGGGGAGGGTTGTCCCGGGATGGAGGGGGCGGGGGTCACTGAAGGAGAAGCTGACTTAGCCAGGGCCTGGGCTATCACTGAGGCTGACGGTGGGGCCTCCGGCGTAGGGGAGGAGAAAAATCCAGGGCCAGGCATCGGTTTCTGTTCTGCAATAAAGATACATAAATGAGCCTGAGCATTCTACTTTAACCTTTCCTTTGAACTTTGTAGGTTGAATAGCTGAATGTACTGTATAGGCTTTTCTACTTACCCTGAGCACTAGCGTGGTACTGAATGGCCTGACCCCTCAAGTTGCTGGCAAGGAAGCCTGACTGAGGAGGCATTCTACTGCCTACTGACGGCTGAGGGGAGTAGGTTATGGTCGACTTTCCTGAAAACATTTACAGCAGTATACAGTAAATTACAATGTACCATAAATTACAATGTACTGTAAATTACAGTGTACACATTACAGTCAAGTACAGCTAATTACAATGAATATGTACCTTTATATCTTGTTTGTTAAAAGAAATTAACTACAATTATAGTTGTCAATCAACATCTTGTCATTTTAGACTTTTAACAATTCTTGAAGGGATTAACAACTTATAACTTGAAGAGATCTATATAGTTTTTACTAAGTTTAAGGTTAATCATTCTGTAGTACCAATTTACTCTTTCAATGCAGAATGTATTTTTATATAAGATACTATAAACATCAGTTACAGATATCCAAGAAATAAATATATCCCTTACCTTCCACACCAGCCTTGTTACCAAATGGCCAGTCCTGTACTAACTGTGACTCGGGGCACACGGCAGGGAGGGGCTGGGACCCATCATCCTCATACAGGTCCTCCCCAAACTGATATAGGTCCTCCTCATACTCCGGCCTCAGCTGACCGCCCCTCCCATACTGTCGACGATTGGACATCGGTCCTCCCCCGGGGATAGGGGACACAGACTGAGTGTAATTGTAGCTAGACTGTACCCAGGAGTTTGGGGGGTAGGTATACTGGGCGGGTAGGCCGGGGACTTGGGAGGGGTATGCCTGAGGGGGTGGGGGAATGTGAGGGGGGATGTAGGGCTGGGGAGCCTGGGGCCGCGAACTGCATAACATCATGTGGTCCTAAAATTACAAATGTGAAAGATTGATTTGCAGAAACTGATAAAACAAGCTATTACACAAACTTTAAGGTAGTAAATATTCCACTTTACAAGCTACACTGAACATTTCCTCTGTCAATATAGAAATCTATACCATCATCCTCCTCTCCAGCTCGCGGAACCGGGCCCGGTCCTCTCTCATCTCCTTTAGCTGCTCCTTTAATTCAGTCACCAAGTCTAGTGTGGTCTGTTGTTTGGCCTCCAGGGCCCAGAGTCTGGCTTCTAACCGCTCAGGGCTCGGCCTTGTCCGGCTCCTCTGTCATAAACAATATACCAATACTAAAAGATGCATTTTTATCATAAATATTCAACAGTCCTCAACCAATCAGGCAGTCTGTCACAAGTATTTAAATCATAAATATTCAACAGTCCTCAACCAATCAGACACTCCATCCTTACCTCACTGAAGCTGAAGTGGACGTTGGCTGGAGACTTCCCCCTGAGGGCGGGTGTACTGCTGTTGGTCAGCCCACTAGCTGACGAGGATTCCTTAACGGCCGGGGTACTGCTACAGGAGGGCAGGGCAGACAGGGGGGACTGGGACCGCTGGGAATAGTCCTGGGGTGTGTGGCTGGCCTTTGGGGTGCTGTAACTGGGTGTGTCCTCATCTGACCCTGACACCTCATCCTTAGCGTCTTCATACCCTGACACACTGTCTACCACAGCTGTTAAACAACACAATATAAATCATCAATCTGTGCATCATGTCACTGCCAACCAACCACACTGCTAAAACATTGTGTCAATCAATGCTACATGTATCTCTCAAACAGCATAAAAAAGACAAGTCTACAATGATGATAGAAAATCTATCAGACAAAGCTAGCTGCATCAATTTGCTTCATATTTCATAGAAATAAGTACAGTGTAAATTACAAAATGTTTTTAAAAAATTTTTATCATGAAAGCATGAGCTGAGCTGAGTACTTAATTTAGTGACATATGATATCCTTACTTGCATTGTGTGATGACTGACAAGACAGACTGACTACTTACAGACACCGAGTGAAGCCCGGCGTAGATTCTCCAGCTCACACACACTTTCATCGATGTCATTGGGAACTATCCTGTGCAGCTCCTACAATATAAAGACATTGGAATTACACTCTTATCTTAATACAGCACATATGTATAAAATCTTCATTGTTTACTTATACATATACATACAGTGTATGTAAGTTGGTGAGAAAGTTCTGTACTTACACATATACACACCACTAGTAAAAAGTCAGCTGACATAACTTTCAGATGCATTTACTTTAAGACTCATTAATAAAAAATTACAATACATACATGATTTTTCTCCCCCTGAATTTTCTCCAATGTCTGATAGAGGGCGTCTAGTGACTGTTCAACAAGAGCTAACTTCTGATTGGTTGACTCATCATCTGAAGGATGGATCTCATCTGCCATTGTTCTGTATATCTATGATTTGATAAGATAAAAAAAATAGTCATTAAATTCTTCCTCTCACTAGCACTCTCTCTATTTCTAACTATACCAGAAGTCTCTGTCGAGACTGAAGCTCAACTGGTTTGTACTTATAGCAAAGGAAGAGAAAAGTACTTAAGCAGTTGGGAATTGAAACTTTACAACAGTAATAAATAGAAAAATGATCCTTGATTTGGTCATTTAATGTTCTTAGTGAAGTCTACTTGCATGCCACATTATATTATACATGTACCTGGTAATTAAACTAAAACGGTATTCGGAGTAGCATTTTGAGAGTATTTAACAGGAATTTCTATTTTTAGTAACCAAGGCAATAATGTTCATCCAAATCAAAAACCGATACGCAGAATTGTGTATCTTAGTGTAGTCTACTTGTGTGCCAAGTCATATTGAAATCAGACCAAAACTGTAGGACGAGTTGCATTTTGAAAGAATTTCACAGAAATTTCTATTTTTAGTAACCACGGCAACACCGTTCATCGAAATAAAAAAAAAAAATACACAGAATTATGTACCTTAGTGTAGTCTACTTGTGTGCCAAGTTATATTGAAATCAGACCAAAACAGTAAGAGGAGTAGCATTTTGAAAGAATTTCACATGAATTTCTATTTTTAGTAAACAATGCTAACACCATTCATCAAATCAAAAACTGATTCACAGAATTATGTATCTTTGTTTAGTCTACTTGTGTGCAAAGTTATATTGAAATCAGACCAAAACTGTAGGAGAAGTAGCATTTTGAAAGAATTTCACAGGAATTTCTATTTTTAGTAACAATGCTAACATCGTTCATCAAAATCAAAAACTGAAACACAGAATTATGTATCTTAGTGTAGTCTACTTGTGTGCCAAGTTACATTGAAATCAAACCAAAACTGTTGGAGACATAGCATTTTGAAAGAATTTTACAGAAATTTCTATTTTAAGTAACCATGGCAACACCATTCATCGAAATCAAAACCGATATACAGAATTATGTATCTTAGTGTAGTCTACTTGTATGCCAAGTAATATAGAAATCAGACCAAAACTGTAGGAGGAGAAGCATTTTTAAAGTTTTTCAAAGAAATTTCTATATTTAGTAACCACGACAACATTGTTCATCAAAATCAAAAACCGATATACAGAATGATGTATCTTAGTGTAGTCTACTTGTGTGGAAAGTTATATTGAAAACAGACCAAAACTGTAGGAGGAGTAGCATTTTGAAAGAATTTTAAAAAAAATTCTATTTTTAGTAACCATGGCAACACTGTTCATCGAAATCAAAAACCGATATATAGAATTATGTATCTTTGTGTAGTTTTCTTGTGTGCCAAGTTATATTGAAATCAGACCAAAACTGTAGGAGGAGTAGCATTTTGAAAAATTGTTTACAGACAGATGGACAGACAGACGGACGGACACTGGACGCATTACTATCGCATAAGCTCTTCTGTTCTCTGACCAGTAGAGCTAAAAATAAGGTGATTTGGGCTGATTTTGATATATGTACAAACCTGGGACAAATAGTAAGTGGCCCAGGGAATCTTTAACTTCAGGAACTGTTCTCTGGCTTCCTCTAAACGGCCCTCCCGCATAGCAACAGTTGCCAGGGAGAATTTGGACTGTTCTATCAGGTCCTGAATCTGGTTCTCGTCCAGGTTCATCTGTTGATCGTCCGTAAAGATTCTGTCCCGGGGTAGAGGGATGTTCAGTTTCCTATAAGACAGAGTTACAACTCGTATCAAACATTGAACTAACTGTAAAATACGGAATCATTTACTAATCAAAACCCTGAATACCTTTCCATTCTTGATAACATCAGTGTGGCCTCCTGCCAGTAATGAGCTGCTCTTCTCTCAAAAGCATGCAGCTTGACCCCATGGTCCAATTCCAAAGCTTTTAGTTCTTTCACCTATTGAACATCAAGGTAAGATAAATGTTAAGTGCAAAGTTTCCAAAGAATTATGCACGTAAATCAATGCAAAAGAGATCAAAAAAGGAATTGCTGAACCAACATATACTTCAGTTCCTTTTTGGACCAACATATACCTCAGCAACATGAAAACTGACTTTTTTCTTGATTTTGACAATATTCAGTCAAACCTGAGATACCAAAGTTCAACTGTATAAGTGTACATGAATGTCAGAAATTACCCTTTGGATTTGGATTTACATTTATTTTACTGACCCTTTCATCAAAAGTCCTGGCGAGGTGAATAATGAGTGCAGCAGACACTCCGTGAGTTCCCAGCAGTCGGACCGTCTCCAGGCCTTTCTGTATAACCAGTCTCAGTCTGGGGGTCTGGTCCCGCGCCAGATTGTGACAGAACTTGTACATCGCAGTCCACCACTCACACTGGGATTCCGTACACAGTCGCACACTGAGGCATGCTGGGAGTAATCGAGGCTGGTACTGGTCGAATCTTGTCCCCTTACACCGCTCCTCAAAAGCCGAGGATGCACACTTCACTGTCGCAATGAAGAAAGCCTGAAAACACCACTGACAAATGTTACACAATATTCATTAGTTTGTGACGGAATTAATTCAAATATTTTTATGCCAAATGGAAAACTGCTTGCAAGAAACACTAACTGCAAAATTAATTCCCAACCTAGCAAACAAAGAAAGAATTTATTTTTTGAAATTAAATCATTAGCATCTGAAGAACCATTTATATTTTGCACTATTATGACTAGCACAGAAATATTTGATAAGAAACACAAACTTTCAAGTTCAAGTACACTCTGTACAAATGTTACAACAAAGTCAGGTTACCATTATATCCAGTTGACACAAGGATTCTGGGGCTGCAGAACTCAGGTCATTGGTGGACAATGGGATTTTATCAGGTATACAGAGTGGATCTAAAACATATTGTCATGTATGTTTGTTACTTCATGTATTAAGTAAGTTATGATTTAACATGAATGAATATAGAAATGTCTTGAACAGTCGACTTAGAACTTAAGGCCGTGTGACTTACAAGACTTCTGAGACACTTCCTGTGAGGAGCATCTATTCAGAGCGATCCATACCAGCTCTTGTAAGTTACCCTCGTGTAAACTGAACACTCCTGAAATAGGAAAACAATATTACAAACTAGAAACTCTTGTTGCTATAGCAACAAAAAAGGTCTTCCGTTCTCCTCTATTTATCTGTATGAATGAGCTTTTATCTATGTTATAAAGGCAGATAATATTTACAATGATTACAGGAAAACAAACGGCCGGAGGTATAACTCACTAAAATTCTTGACGTTACTTTAGACAGTTTAAAGTCTTAATAACATTCATGAAAAATCATTTTCAATTTTTTAGCACTTCCTGTGATGACTGGAAGTGACAGAGGACGGATTTTAACCTATATCTGTTACCCAATCTTCACAAGTTTAGTGTCTTGGTCTGTTACATTTTAAGAAATCTCGTAATGTTAACTTCTCGTTTTGAGGACAAGAAATCACGTGACCGCGAGTAAATTTTAAAAAAGATATTTTACGTTACTTTAGACTTTTGCAGTCTGAATAACATGTCCTAAAATCATTTCAAATACTCTTTTTATAAAAGATATTTCTGGGATAGTATGATACTCAATTTATGCAGTTTTTTCTCTCATAACTGGAAGTTGTCGTTTTTGTTTCTACTGGGACTGACATATTTCGAAATAACAAATAAGATGCTGTAATATAATATTAAGAAAGATTCCACAAAGAAAAGTTGAATTTTTTGATATATTTGATCACTTCATGTGACAACCGGAAGTGACTGCGGACGATGTTAACTCAAATCGATTTCTCTACTCAGCATAATCTACCATTCCTATTCCTTTGGTGTCTTAATCTATTACCGTTTACGAAATCTAGCCATGATAACTTCTTAGTTTTAGGACAGAAAATCACGCGACCGGAAGTGAATTTTATAGAGATATTTGAGGTAACTGTAGATATATTGAATCTGAATAACATACCCCAAAACCGTTACACACTTTATATATAAATAATATATATTTGAAAGAAAATACTCAAATTATGTAGTTTTTCTCTTATAACCGGAAGTTGTCGTTTTTGTTTACGGTGGGCCTGATATATTTTGAAACTAGAAATAAGATGTTATCAGGTGATGCAATAAACTTTCCATAAAAGAAAAGTTGAAATTTTCGATTTCTTTGACTACTTCCTGTGACGACCGGAAGTGACGGCGGACAATCTTAACCCACACAGTTTTGCCTACTCATGAAGATCTACCATTTCTATAAGTTTGGTGTCTTCATCTCTTACCATTTACGAGATCTCTCTATGATAAGTTCTCAATTTGAGGACAGGAAATCACGTGACCGGAAGTGAATTTTAAAAAGATATTTGACGTTACTGTAGACATTGGCAGTCTGAATAACATATCCAAAAATCATTTCAAATACTTTATCTATAAAAAATATTTATGGGAAAGAAAAATACTCAAATTATGTAGTTTCTCTCTTATAACCGGAAGTTGCCGTTTTTGTTTCTGGTGGAACTGACATATTTCAATACTACAAGTAAGATGCTATAATGTGATGCAAAAAAAATTTCAAAAAAGAAAAGTTGAAATTTTCGATATTTATGAACACTTCCTGTGACGACCGGAAGTGACGGCGGATTAATCTTAACCCAAATGGATTTGCCTACTTATCAAGATCTATCATCCCTGTAAGTTTGGTGCCTTAATCCCTTACCGTTTCTGAGATCTCACTCGGATTAAATATTTTTGAAAAAAGCGGAAATCGGACATATCTGACGACCGGAAGTGAATTTTCAAAAAATGAAAAAAACGTCTGTAGTATTTTCATTTTCTATCATCCCTGAAAATTTAGGAAAATCCGTCTTGCATCTCTGAGAAATCCTGCCGACAAGATTTGGGGAAAAAAATAATAATAAGAATAAGAAAAAACAGTAGAATCACTATAAGGTCTTCCGTCTGAAACGGAAGACCTTAATAATAAAACATGTACATAATTACATTAACATGTATGAAATTATATAACAGATAATACAATCTCTGGATTGAAGAAGAGCCAGTACCTTCATCATAAGTCTCCAGTGCCTGCCTAGAGGGAGCCACTAGTGAGGTTGCTATAAATAGATCCTTCATGACAATGAAGGAAGACCTGGCTTTGTTTCTCATCTCCCTCAGTGTAAACATCAGTTCATACATCCTGTCTACGGCCTTCCCGGTCTGTAACTGACGATACTCCTTCATACGTGCCACATTACCGCGCTCCGTCAGTGGCAACAGCAGATAACCTGAATTACGAAAAACAAAATAAATCATCAAACAGAGGGAGAAACAAACTACACTGAAAATGAATACCTACAAAAATACTCAGAATGATTATTTAAACTGATATCAGCTGTGTGATTTCCAATCTTCAGTAACAATAATAGCCCAGTATCTCCCTCAAGAATGTACACTTTATCTTGTACAAAGATCCCAAACCGAGTCCACATTTTAGACTACCTACCCCCTTGGCTGTGCCGATAGCAGCTTAACTTCCGGAGTCGACCAAACATCTTCTTCTGATCAGCGTTCATCATTTTGTACCAGGAGCTTCTTGTCTCCAACAAAGGGAGGCTACTGCTGACCATCAAACATACAGCAGCAAAAGAACTGGCATCCCTCCAGGTAATCTGTCTCTGAAATGATAATTATCAATGTCTACAGCTGCAAATCTGTATCAATGTACTGCATGTACATTTAAATATCCGCATCAAACTCCCCATAAGTTTTTTTATGAATAACTAGCACTATTAGTGAAATACATATAAGTATCATATATTTTTACTGAAAGATATTCTAGACTTAAATATGTCACCCTCATTAAACTGATATCATCGACTGAATAGTTAAAACTCATTATCTCTAACTCAGTGGGACAGAAAAAAACTTCATCACTAACATGATTAAAATAGAGATATTAGTGGTATTAAACATCTTAAACATTATTTGGGATTGAAACTTATAAATCACTTCAAAATATCCATTATATTTGAGATATCAGTGTCCAAAATACCGAAGTTCAACTGTAGTCTGAATTAAATGTAACCTCAAACTAAACATATACAGGAAATACTTTCAATGTATTAACATTAACAAGGGGAGAAAATACAAAATGTGTGTAAAAGAGTCTGAGAGATTGTGGCATTTCATCCCACATACATGTATTATCTACCTTTTCAGCTCTTTTGTATAACATTAATCCAAACAGGAAGTAGAGCTGTCCCTGAACCTCCTTAAGGAAGGCCTGCCAATCAGGTTTAGTGGAGGACAGCAGTGAAGCACTGAACAGATTCTGGTCAAGTCTGAAACACAGTACAATATCAAGTACAACAGTATTATTCTACACAACATATCAATACTACAAAACATATGTTTCTCTGTTGTTATTTTTTTTAATTGAGGAAAAATTAAAATTCTGCATATTAGAATTAGATTTGTGAGTCTTACTGATGCAGCAATGACACACAGGTCATAAGGTCATTTCCTGTCAGCTGACAATACAGAAGGCCAATCAAAACCATTAGTTTCTGGGTCTGGAACCTGGTATCAGTGGACACTTGTTCTTTCTTCTCATAAGCCTTCAAACAGAGCAAAACACACAAATACAAATACCCAGAAGACAAAAACAAGATTGATAAATCGTACAGTGTCCCATTTTAGTTGACAAGATTCCACATGTCTGAGCTGCCCTGATAAACACCTCATTAAATACAGTATCCCGCATTCAAAACGCTATACACAAATGTGACACTCATTATTGTTAGATTTAAATTTGGTTCTTTATACTGTATTTCTGTGGATTACAATCCTTACTTCGAACACTTTGATGACCACCTCTAACCACTCCCTCTGACCTAGGAACTTGTTGAACTTGGTGGGATCTGTACAGTATCTGTAGGCATCTCTCAGTGTTTTCTCTGACTGAAGATAGACTTCCAGGAGCTTACAGTGTAACGTAACGTCATCCTGATTCTTATTCTGTAGCAAAAAAAGCAAAAGTTTCTCAGTGCATATTTCTTTGTGTGAGTATACACAAAAACAGTATTCAAATCAATTTCACAGTTGGCTCAGTAAAAAAACATAGGTAAGCTAAAAACGTTTTGCTAAATCAGCTTTTCAATGTAATATTCATATTTCTATACTAACAACATAAAGGTTCTAAAACTTACGATTTCCATCAGATAGAATTTCTCCATGTCTTTAACATCCCCATCTCCCCGGGATATGACTCTCTCCTGTAAACAGAACCAATTCTTACTAACAGTATTACAATGATAGCATAGCCTATATTTACAGCATTACTATAACAGTATCCACAACTACAGTATTAAACTATCCACATTTACACTTTGATGAGAATATATCGACAAAACTATATCTACCCCCTTCATATTTATAGTATGAGAGACAAGTACTAACAGTACTTATCAACAAACTTACTTTGAGTCTAAAAATAGCAGGATGGCTTGGATAGAAACTCTCTCCTCTTTTGTACCAGTACTGGAATAAATATAGGTCATGGGTCAATATAGGTCAACTCGAATTCCAACTCGAATTCCAGATTAATACTGTAAATTGTGTATCTAATGTACATGTAAACAATTCAAATTATAAAAGCAATACATCGAAAATAATGTAATATAGCTAGTATCCTCACATACATGTATATTTTTTCCCCCTTTTTCTCAAATAAAATTACTACATAAAATTGGAATTCTAGTTCTCAGGCCAGTGCCCATCCGTTTTGAGGTAGCCACATTGCTAATTTTATTGTAATTTTGATAAAATAAAAAGTTGGTATTGCGGAGACCTATCCGGAAAAAAAGTGCTGTCATTTTTTCGTAGTTTAGTATTCAAATATCACTTCCAGTAGCCATTTTCAAAGAGATTTTGGCTACTTCGTTTGAAAATACATTTGAAGACATTGCCTTCAATGTTCACACGCTGATAAGCAATCGATAAAGCAGAACTTTTGATCAGACATGGAAAGTATGTCTGTGATTAACAAAAATTATCTTTATGTTAAAAAAAATTCGAAATTAAAATTAAAAAATTATCCCCTTCATCTACTTTATTGCCAATAAAATGATAAATAAAATACCTCCCTCCCCTATCTGTTTTGGAAAAAAATTGCCTGAGAACCAGAGAATTAAATTTAGACAGCCTAAAATGAATCATGTTAACACAAAATTCACTTAGTTGACCAAATTTTCTCTATATGCTTACATATATGAATAGCTCTGAAATCATTTTTTCTTTCACTTTATTAAACAAATAATTAAAGTAAACCTACTTTTAAGACTTGAGGATCTTCGTCTTTAACTTGATCGTAAAGCTCACAAACTGCAGATATAAGTACATAATCAACATGTTCAATGTACATACTGACCCATACCTATAAATGCAGTGATTGGGAAGGGCTTGCGCCATGCGCCATAGTCTCATTGAAATGAAAAATGGCGCATTAAATCAATCAATTATGGCGCCAAGGTGCGTATTCAATTTTTTGCGATGTTATTTGGAAATGTTTTGCGTACAACTTTCTTGTTTTACTTTTGTTTTAAATGCAGTCAATCTCATTGGTTGAAACCTGTCAAAAAGTACTTTCGGTTAAACGGAGCGATACTTCATTCATTTGTATGGTAGGGCTGTTCCCTTTCCAAAACTGTTGTAATTTTAAAACAAAATACGGGTCAGTTATATTCTAAGCAAGTTCCTTTAAATTTGCTGCATTTCATGTGTTAAAAATTGGATTCGGTTAACAAAAATCGTGTTTTCTCTCACATTTCATATTTGTTTGTCACTTTGTTATTTCTTGAAATGGCCCTTCAGATTATATTCCCATTCGTTTTTAAATGGCCCATCAAAAATGTTGACAGTTGCGCCATAGTCCCATTGACCATTTTGGCCTTCCAAATCACTGTAAATGCATCCTCATTTGTAAATAGCTTAAACTTAAATTCAAACTACCGATAAACATTAGAATTCAAAATTGGAAATCGGTGAAGTTCAGTGTCAGCTCAGAAATCAATTTTCTGAAAAAGCTTGTTAAATGAATTTTTATTAATTTCATCTAATTTTTACCATGTTAACTGTAAATATGTACATGTATACACCATAATTTTGATGAAGAAGTTTTGATCTTTTTTTGGAGTCTCATGCTGACTTTACCCTTTGTGTGTCAATTTCCAATCAAACTAAGAGAACAATTTTTCCCAAATCAAACAAATTTTTTTCCTTACTTTTCAAAATTAATGCTTTTTGTTTCCCATCCAGCTCCAGTGACCTGTAAAGAGAAAAATAAATAAATAAAGACTTACACAGTATTTATTTCTCAATTCTCTGCATAAAAAATTCAAAATTTTGCAGCCTTTAAAACTAACGTCACCACTGTGGCATGAGAATTTGAAGTATATTTTGAACAGGGATAACCTTTTGTAAGCTTCGATGGCCTCGACAGGGTGGTTGCATGCCTCCTCTATCTGCCCCAGGAGTTTGTGAGTCTGGGGAATCCGGGGTCTGATGGCCATGTGCTCCTCCACATACCTACAACAAACAAATAATACAAAGAGATATCAGAAAATGTACAGCTTCATGTAAAATAACTTCTCCCACACATACCTACAACAGAGGAAGAGAGATCAGAAATTGTACAGCTTTACTGTTTTATAGACTTTCTTTTTCCACAACTGAACATTTTGTATTCCCTTAATCTAATATGTTCAAAGTAGAGTCAAATTAGTTAAAGAGGTGAATAGCCTTGTGGCTTAAAAAATATAAAAGTAAGCACCTTTTTGCCTTGTCATATTCCTTGACTTCATAATACAAAAGACCAATCTGATATCCTCTAGCAGCTCTCTGAAAAAAAATGTAATAAGAAAACTTGGAACAATTTACCAGAGTCAATGATTTTTATATCCTTTCCCTTGATTTTCTTGAAGCTGCACAGAGGACTTCTATATTCTAAAAGTCATTTTCTTTGTCTAGTTCACTAACCATATGCCCTCTGTTTTTTCTCAAGTAAGTTCCACTTTGTACATGTTGTATGTCATAAAACATTGAAGATAATTCTTTTAAATTCAACATTCCATTATTGGCAACAGAAAAACATGGAAATTGCATTTTAATTTGTCAATGTGCGTTATCAGTTCCATATTATCTTAAGCATATCTAACCCGAACTGGTACATACATGCCAACTTTCCCGATTTAGGCGGGATCCTCCCGATTTTACCCTTTCATCCCGCTTTCCTGATCGTGAAAGAAAAATTGCCCCAATTTCCCGATTTGAAAAAATCACCAAATTTTCCGATTATAAAAGATTCCCTACCGCTGAATTTTGACAATCGGGATAACAATGTCAAACTTGTTTATTCAATGCACTCAGATAAGCTTTATTGTTTATTTAACAATGTTAAATTAGCCACAGGAAATCACTTCACGCATGAACGCACGCAGTTGTCCAGGTACAAGTAGCTTATAGCTTGGGGCAATTAGGGGATTATCTTGTCAGTTTTAAGGGGTATGCAAGGTGAAACACATAGATTAACGTGTTAATTGTTAGTCATTTTATTAAAAACATAAATTAAAGACAATGATTTACTAATCAAACTATAAAATCGGAATCCAAAGAGATCGTTTTTTGAAAACGAAAGTAGAAAACTACAAAGCATAGCTGCTGATTTTATCTACCTATAATAAAAAATATTGTAAAGTTTGCCTCTTAAAATTTTATGAAATTAAGATGAAACAATCAAGTGTATGTCAGTTAGAATTTCTTTTCCCTTCCTTCTCCCAAAAGTAATATTTTATAGGTATGTGCATTACTTAAGGAAATACCCACATGGCGCCATCAAGCCTTACAAATTTCATGACTGTAAAAAAAAAAATAATAATTCTCCTTTGGATAGGTGGTATAAATTTCAGTAAATTTAATACCTTATTAGAATCTCTAATTAATTGAAATATAATTAAAACATCTCAAAAATGTTTCCAGAAACAGGACTTTACAGAATCAAAACCTCATATATTTTTTAGCCTTTGAAAAAAATGATTTAAAAGTTGTACAATTTTCAATTTTTCACTAAATTATGTGTCCTGGTAGAAGAAAAAAACATGTTTTTAATGAGAGAAGCACTTATTTTAGCAAAAATATTTCAATTTTGGGAAAAAAAACATTTTTTTAATCAATTTTTGTGTTAAATTAATCCTTAAGTTGTATTAATAAGTGATATCAAACAGTCAGGGGCATAACTTAAACAAGTTATTTTCAAAAATAACTCAAATGAGTTATTTTTTTTGTCTCAATGAGTTACTTCTCTTTGCTATGACCTACTTTTTCCCAACCTTAATAACTCAAACACGTTATTTTTCCAAAATAGCTTCAATAAATAAATAACTTATTTAAGTTATTTTGTGTCATTCCTCCCTAACTTCACACCCCGTGCACCAAAGGATTTTGCTCGTGCACCAAGACAAAAACAAATGTTTGACTAAATATAAACCTTGCTCAATGCAGGAAAAGTGTTCAAAGCCTTGGGAAAAGTGGGGAATTTTTTTTATTTAATGATAAAAATTGGACATATACACCATGTGGATAAAACCACGAAATAAGGAGTAAAATGCTGTTTATCTCCACCTCCTCACCAATTCTCCATTGGAGTCAGTGAACTCCATCTAGTATTACATAATGGAATCCCAAAATGCAATGCAAATTAGCAGGAAACACGAAATTTCCAAGAAATCAATGTCCAAGTAGGATATGAAAATAACTTATTTAAGTTATTTTTTTTAAAAAATTTGTATGTGTGAAATAAAGTAAAATAACTTATTTAAGTTATTTTTTTTATAACTTGTTTGAGTTATGCCCCTGACTGATCAAATATTATTTATAAATTTAAAAAAAGATCATTTCATTATCATTTAATTTCACGACAAAATGTCGCGAATTTAGAGCTTTGAAAATTGTCGTCCAAGCTAAATCCCCCATGGGAATTTTCAAAAGTTGGCATGTATGCTGGTATTCACAAAAAATACTGCTATACATACTGTGAAGAACCAAATTAAATGTAATGGGAGAGGAGAAAATTTAGCAGACCAGAATGAGATCGGAACTCAGTGCCCCTGAATTCTAGTCAGGTGCTCTACCGCTATCTGGTTAACCCATCTGACCGCCACATTCCTCCCTCCTTGTACATGTTGTAGATCAGCACTCTTTCACTTGTCACTTCCAGGGCATGGACTGCAACCAAATGTAAAAGGAAAGGAGAAAAATATGGCAATCAGATCGGGTTTGATAGCCAGTGGCCAGATAGCGCAGTTGGTAGAGCACCACAATGAGAGGTCCGCTTCATTTTTCTCCTCTCCTGTACCAATCTTAACACAAACAAAAATAGGAAAGGGCCTAGACTAAGCCCTAGTTAAGTATGTTGAACTCTTGCATGATCATAACTGCCATACTGATTTTAACCTTTTTAATAAATGCATTAAATAGATTTATAATACACACAGTTAACCATGTTATCTAAAGTTTAAACACACACACATGAATTGTGTGATACTGTTCTGATAGAGTTAAGGCGCAATATTATGAATATCGTGGATAAAGCAATCCCCCCTTCTTCCCCAAAACAATATTTGAAATGAAGAACATAAGGATACTAACTTCAGATTCTTGTATGCGGTCAACAAATCGGTCGACATCTTCTTTACAGCGATTCGATCCGCGTGAACGTTGCGGAGTTGATATCGACATTATGAATTTTCGCTTTCGCTTCAACTTTTCGCGAACTCCATGCCGGTAAATTTTGACCAATCAGATTCGACGTAAGAAAATTAAACGAAGGCAATCTCTTCGGAACTTCTTTTGATTCATCATCGTTTTGACCTTTAACATCCATTGCGCAAGCTCGCATCATCCTTCTGCTTCCGGGTTTGATTGCTGAAAAATTTCTTAATTTATGTGTAAAGGTGAAAATTATGAATTCAGCGACAGTGCCCATACCGGTAGAAGATGTACAAGGAGACGGTAGATGGATGAGCCAGGTGTTAAATTTATGACAATTGTTTATTTAAAAATAATCTGCATTTGGCAAGCGGTATATCTAGTCTTCCCGACTCCCGACGCCCGACTCCCGACGGTCCCGGATTTGGGATTTTTGGCGATTTGTTTTTTACCGGTGCACAGATTTTATTCAAACTTTTCAGGGACATTTTCTGGGTTTATATGAATTCATTAGTGCATAAAAACTTCAGGAAACTTGCCTTTTTATTACTGAATCAGCAGTATCACCTGCCAAAAAGCGGTAAATCTAGTACTCTGTTATAAATGTTAGAACCAAAAACGGACACTGATGTTTTCGTAAAATCACGATTAAAACATCAAAATGAAGAATATATTTTTTTAACAAATAACTGAAAAACCTCATTTAAATGCTAGATAATTTGTACGCACTGAAACTCACATATTTTATTTTTGTACGCACTGAAACTCACATTTTTTTAAATTAAGAGTTATGCTTATTAATTATCGATACATAGCGATGAGCGGAGACGTGAGGTTTCGTAGATCATAATATTAATATTATTTTGGAAGATATTTCTTCTTTTAAAAAGATAGAATAAGTGTTTCAGTGAAATTGAAGGTGTTAGAAAAGTAAGAACAATTAAATTTTATAGATTCCAACATCAAAATGACTTTTAAATTCGGGTTCCTTTTAAACCTGTTAATGAAGAAGATAATCACTTATTATATAAGCTTTTATTCAATCAGTGTTAGCTTGGGTAAAATAATCAATTTCCTAATCACCTGGATGATACAATGAAAGTGGAGAGATATTCTGACAAATTAAAAAAAAGTAATTATGTATTGTAAACTGCTTCTAAATCAAAGCTATTAGTCATGATTAGTATTAACCATGACTTGTTAACATAACATGTAACCGGGGACAAACCATGGTCCTTAAAATATTACTTGTAATCTGATAACGTTTTTGTCATTGTGTAGGTTTTCATACAATAAGAAGAATTTAGAGTTAACTTAAAATCAGTCAGCAAAAATAGCGTTATGAACGATTTATACACGGAAAAAAAGAAACTATATTGGTGTTTTTAGGCGTACAAAATATCTGGTATTTAAATGAGGTTTTCCGCTTATTTGTTGAAAAAATTATTATTCATTTTGTTGTTTTTAATCGCGATTCTACGAAAACATCGGTGTCCGTTTTTGGTTTTAACATTTATAACAGAGTACTAGATTTACCGCTTTTTAGCAGGTGAAACATCTGGTTCAGTAATAATAAGACAAGTTACCTAAAGTTTTTATGCACTAATGAATTCATATAAACCCAGAAAATGTCCCTGAAAAGTTTGAATAAAATCTGTGCACCGGTAAAAAAGAAATCGCCAAAAATCCCAAATCCGGGACCGTCGGGAGTCGGGCGTCGGGAGTCGGGAAGACTAGATATACCGCTTGCCTCTGCATTTACCATTTGAAAATGTAAGCAAAAAAGGCATGACTGCAATATACCTAGATCAGTAGATGTGACATGCGCCTCAAATACGTAGACACTGTCTCTCTTGAAAAGTGTTGTTGAATTGGGAGAAAATGTACATATTTAATCAGGGGCCTATGTAGTATTAACTTTGTAGAGGTCCCAGATTTAATGCAGCAGTTCAAATTTTAAAAAATGCAGTTTTATGTTTTTGGCTCACCTGAGCTGAACAGGTCCAGTCCAAAGACTATTTCTACCTACGTAGGTATTAATAGCTACGTAGGTATTTAAAGCTACCAAAAGTAGCTATTTTTACCTACTTTCTGCTTTACTTGCATTTTGTGGCCAAATGCAGGAACGGCGCAACATGGTGAGCACACAATTTCTTGATACAGTCAAACTGATGATGAATATGACAAAAATTTGGCCAAAAAATGAAAACTTCGTATATTATCAATTTTGCATAGAAACTAATGTAAAATTGCCGATTCAGGAAGTAATCATTTTTTGGCAAAAATTTTGTCGTATTCATCATAAGTGTGACCATATCAAAAAAATATGGTGTTTACCATGTTGCGCCGTTTGGTCTTTTGGTCGCAAAATGCATAAATTACATAAAGTAGGTAAAAATAGCTACTTTTGGTAGCTTTAAATACCTACGTAGCTATTAATACCTACGTAGGTAGAAATAGTCTTTGGACTGGACCTGCTGAAAGCTCAAGTGAGCTTTTCTGATCACATTTTGTCTGTAGTCCATTTGTCTGTCTGTCCATCTGTCTGTCTGTAAACTTTTCACATTTTTTACCTCTTCTTAAGAACCACTGGGCCAATTTTTACCAAACTTGCCACAAAGCATCCTTGGGTGAAAGGGATTCAAGTTTGTTCAAATGAAGGGCCACATCCTCTTTCAAGGGGAGATACTTTAGAATTAGTGAAAATTTAGTGGCATATTTTAAAAATCTTCTCAAGAAACACTGGGCCAGGAAAGTTGAAACTTATGTGGGAAGATCATCAGGTAGTGTAAATTCAAGTTTTTTCAAATCATGACCCCCGAGGGTAGGGCTGGGCCACAATGGCTGATCAAAGTTTTACATAGAAATAGATAGGAAAATTCTTTAAATATCTTCTTCTCAAGAACAGCAAAGCTATGATTGGTCATATTTATATGGAAGCATCCTTAGGTATACTCCTACAAGTAAGAGCCTCGGTTAACGTCCCTACGCTCCTTATATACCTGGGACTCTTACATCCGAAGGCCATTTTCTAACGAGCTCGTTCCGCCTGAGATTTTGGGCGGAACGTATTATGTGTGAAATAAACTGTTAACAAGTAATTTTCAGGTACCTACGTGTTAGCATGGGGTATGAAAGTCACAAGAAATAATAAAATCCATTTTATTCATTGTGCATTATTGTTAATTAATGGAAATTGTCAATATTCCAATTTGTCACCAGAAGTACTTTCGATTTGACTTCATATTAATTTTGCGGATTGCTTGTCAGAAAACGAAATTTTCGTTGCATTACACTAGTTTCGTTTCGTCAGATTTTCTGAATTCCATTTCCGAATTTTGAACAGACGACTTGTTTCAAATTCTGCTTCGATTTAAAAAATATTGGATTTATTGCTAATACGAGACGTTAACAGTGTTTTATGCGTAAGTTTTATCGTAAATACTAAGTATTTTATTATTTCGTACCATTCGTAAATATACAAAGACTTATTTCTTAATAAAACAATTTTTTCCACTTGGGGTTTCAGCGGCGAGAATTTTTACAATGGATGCTAGAGGTTACGCGGCGCCAAGTCAAAAGTATCTCGCCGTGAACCTCTAGCATGCTGGAGTACCTTAGGTAGTGTAGTTTAAAGTTTGATGAAATCATGACCCCTGGGGTAGGGCGGGGCCACAATGGATGAGCACAGTTTTACTTATGAATATATATTAGGATTTTTTTTTCAAAGACAGCAAAGCAGACCTGTTTACTCTTACGATTTCGCCGTATTTTGTACGGATTTTTCGTCTAAAATACGTCTCACGTTTTGCTTTTATGAAAATACTGAAATTGGAAATTTGGAACTTAGCAGTTAGTTTTAGTTTTGATATGTCTTCGTTTCACGCATTTGAGTCGATTAAAAGGAGAAAAATTTCAAACACCTAAGTGATGTCGGGTTGCCAAAACGATGTGGTATTATAAAATGACAATGACCATGTTGTAAAACCAAGTTTTTGTAATTAGTATAGTAGTTGTTCTCTTTTAATATATGTTAAATCGACGGAAATTTAAATCTTACTGGCAAATGCCAAACCTCACGGAGAAATCTAATCAAAAAAACTGAGAGACGACGAAATGGGTAAACAGGTCTGGCAAAGCCATGATTTGTCATATTTTAGTGGGGGGGGGGGGGCACAATGTAAGTTCAAATGTAAAGGGCAAAAAAGCCACAGACAGTCAAAGAAATATGCAAGCAAAGCATCCTAATTAGTGTAGATTCAAGTTTGTTCTAATCATACCCTCTACCCAGACCCATGAAGGATTGGTTGGGACCACTTTTTGGTTTAAACTTTTCAATAGTAAACTGATTTCTGCTTTTTTCCTAGCCTCAGTGTTCATGTGAGTGATGTGGCCCACGGGCCTCTTGTTATTTACTCTAATTCCCCACCCCACCCCTTTTAAGCCATTCAAAATGGGGAATATGGAAGTAGGAAGGTTTTATACCTTGATTGTTAGATTCCTTGTCCAAAGTCCAGGGGACCTACATGTATAGTATAGTTTGCAGTTAAGTGTAAAGTTTTATGTTACATCATGATCTTTTTTAGTCAGATGCATCCAGCGTAAACAATTCATGTGATTGGTCAACTTAAATTATCAACATTGACACGGAAATAGTCTGTTGCATGAGCAACCAATCAGGTATAAGAAGAAAGTTCCAGTCGTAAAGCTTGCGGTTAGGAGTCGTGTACAATTTACCTTGAGCGCAGCTGTCAACTAAATCATGATGTAATGTGAAACATTACACTTAGCTGCAAACCATAATAAAGTAAAAGTTCAAATGCGGACGTCTTCCCGTCAGGGTTAACCACAATGTGCAATCACACAAAAGTCAGGGAGAGCTTATGCTATATTAGAATGACACTTCTTCAGATTCTGCATTGAAATGTATTTTAGTGGCACTGCATGAATTTAGATGGTTGTTCAGGTTAAAAAATGAATTTAAAATCAGGGACAGCTGATGCTATCTGGATGAAAATTGTTTGGTACTGACTAATTTGAGAAGATTGAACAGGGTAAAGTTGTTGTCTAGAGCAATTTCAATCTTGGATAATTTTGTAAGCCCATTGGGACAAATCTCCCATGAATCATGCATTTAGAGGAATTCAGAAAAGCAAACAGGTGATACTATCTAATTTGGAAAGATTGAACAGGTCAAAGTTTTTGTCTAGAACAGCTTCAGTTTCAGCCATATTTAAAAAAAGAAGTATATACAATAGTCAAATGCTCACTTTCAGTATTTAAGTCCTTAACAATTAAAATGGGACAAATAGTTACTCATATTTTAGCACAATTTGATAAAAAGTGACATATTTTCAACAGAATCTAACAAATATTTTCACATTTTCAGCACAATCGCTTTATTACAGAAGGCAGGGAGAGAGAGCCAGAGGTGTTGTTTGTAGGCGATTCTCTTATTCAGAGATTGGCACAAACAAATGTACGTAAAAACAAGATTTTATCAATTTTCTACACAGTCATTTGCAGTTAACATACTGTATAGCTTAAAGTAAATATATATTATTATAACAGTAACTTGATCCGAAGGGTCGTATCATGTCGAGTTTACAGGCGCGGATCATCAAATCTAACGAGACGCGAAGCGTCGAGTTTGATTTACCTGTCAACGAGATGTGATACGGCTCTTCGGATCAAGTTACTGTTATAATGATAAAAATTTATTATATACCCCCTTATAACTAGCTAAATATACCAAATAAAACTTTAGAGATCAATTGTATAATATTTATCCATAAAACAAAGCATAATAACAATGGACTTTTTAACGCGCAAGAAAAATAACGTCATTTTTTTGCATACTACATCATCAGTTTCAGAGAGGGTGATATGGATTCAGAAAACCACAGTGTGGTGATCCGGAAAGTCGGATCACGGCGTCACGTGATTGCATTAATTCTACAGTAAAATTGAGTGATACACGTTAGGTATATAATAAATGTTGTTATCATATGGAAATTTTAAGGCAGAGTAATTAAAGACCTGCTCTAAATAAATTTTCACACATACAGTTACACATGATACACACAACTTGAAGATTGTATTTATTTTTTAAATTCCTTGTAACTGCAGATCCAGATTACAGTTTACATAGATATCATGGATATTATTAAGTTTTTAAAAAAATCACACAAGTTTTAAGACTATAAAAGAAAGACATTAAATAATTTCTATAAAGATAAATTATGGCTAATCCCCTTCGTTGACTATCCTATGTAACAGGTATGGGAGAGTATGTTTGAGCCTCTACACTGTCTGAACTTTGGGATCGGAGGCGACCAGACTCAGAATATCTTGTGGAGGTTGATGAATGGAGAGCTGGACACACTAGAAGCCAAAGTAAGGTTAATAGATGGAAAGTTATCTTAATTTCTTAATAACATAAATGTTGCAACAGGAAGGATGATGTTCTAAAGTTAAAAACATTATATATTTTCTTTTAACATTTACAAAATATTCCCAGAATCACATTCTTTGGAAATATCCCTGGTACTGGTTTACCCATATGTTAGGGGATGCTCCACTTTGCCATGCCTTTGAAATTGAATGGAAAATTAGATTTTGTGTAAATTTCTAAACCTTGTTTACTTCAGTTTAACTTAACGATTTGTGATTGTGCTAGATATGCAAAACATGTTTTTGAATAGTCAATAATGTAATTTGTCATTAAATATCAAGTTAAATTGTTATTGACATTTATGTGTGTAATGGCACTGTAAAAAAGTACACAGATTTTGAAATTAAAGTGATTGTATTGGGCCAGGCCACAGTCATTTTTGATCACTCCTTCTACTTTGAATTTTATTTGTTTCTTTAGGTAGTGGTTGTTCTTGCTGGCACAAACAACTACAGTAACACAGCCGAGGAAGTAACGGACGGGATCATGGAAATCGTAAACGTCATACAGAACAAACAGAACAGCACACAAATCATCGTCATGGTAACTAGATAAACAGAATAACATACAAATCATTGTCATGGTAACTAGATAAATAGAATAACACACAAGTCATTGTCATGGTAACTAGATAAACAGAATAGCTCACAAATCATTGTCATGGTAACTAGATAAACAGAAAAGCACACAAATCATTGTCATGGTAACTAAATGAATAGAATAGCACACATATCATTGTCATGGTAACTAGATAAACAAAATAACACACAAATCATTGTCATGGTAACTAGATAAACAGAATAATACACAAATCATTGTCATGGTAACCAAATAAACAGAATAACACACAAATCATTGTCATGGTAACTAGATAAACAGAATAGCATGCAAATCATCGCCATGGTAATAAGATAAACAGAAGAGCACACAAATCATCATCATGTTAACTAGATAAACAGAAGAGCACAGAAATCATTGCCATAGTAACTAGATGATTTCTATGGTTCATTAGTGCATTCAATATACACAACAGTATACACATAGCTGCATATATAGCATGTAAATTACATAGGAATTCAGGTAAATGGTGTATGTATAGACATGTACCATATATCCAAGCTACAAATAGGTTGATTGGAAATGCTGACAATTTCTTTCTTACATTTTCAGGGATTACCACCCAGGGGAGAAAAACCAAACAAATTACGAGAGAAAAATGCAGAAATAAATTTTAATTTGTCACAAAAAATTGAAAACATGCCTAATGTTAGTTTCCTGAATGTAGAAGCATCCATGTTTGTCCGAGAAAATGGTCTCATCAGCCATACCGACATGTATGATTATCTTCATCTTACGAATGCAGGTTATCAAAAACTATGTGAACCGTTACTAGAGGAAATTCAGAACTTACTGCAAGTGTTCATGAAAGTAGAGAACACATCAATGACAATATCTACAACAGCATCGGATGTTGATGAAGAAGATAGCTAAACCAAGACTATTGTGATACTCGGACAACTGTTATATACATAGGTGGATGATAATAGAGGGCTTATCAAGCTTTTGTTATTGTTGTGGCTTAAATATCTACTCTGTGCAAAAAAAAAAATGTCCCAAAAGTCCAGATTAATTTTATGCATACTTTTAAATTAATATACAATGTACATAAAAATTTTTCAAGGAATATCTAATTTGAAAATTATGAAAGTCTTTGATTGTTGATGCATATTTTTGATATGAACCATGAGGTACCATAGCAAAGTTTAAGGTTTATATTTATTTTTTGCATTGTACAAGGTATACTTCAGGGAATTTTTTTAATAGACTTTCTTCTGATATTTATCTTTTAGGCATTCACATGCAATATGGTGTTATTACCATAAATAAAATATAAAAAATTTAATTAGAAGCTGTGAAAATTAACTCTTGCAAGTTACATCTTTTGCTGATATTTTTTCTTTCCTATTTGAGTGATTTTTTTTTCCACTTTGAGAGATTTTATCTAGAATATGTATTGTTATTCTATTAAATCCAAATATTCCAAATTTTTCAGCTTGATCTGTTGAGAAATATTTGTGAGCTACATGTAATATAAATGTTACAGTTTGTTAGCATTATGTATCTGTGCAATACTATAAGCTATACATTACATGACATTCATTGTGGATGGCTGGTCAGTCCTTTGTATTCCAGTCGACATGGGTTCCAAACCCGTCTGAGATATTATTTTTGACTTGATGCCACTTGATTGGGTGGTTTTTTCATGTGTATATAGGAAACAGTGTAAAGATATTAAAATTTTCCTTTATAAAGACAAGGTTACTATATTTGAATCATATACATTGTAACATATATATCTGAAAATCGCATTATAAGAAATGAAGGTAAACTGGGTCACTATTTCATTTTACTGTGTCTACAATAATTGCCGTTTATGCTAAATGTTGTTTTGAAAGGGAATATATATTTCATCAGACAGTAGAATTTTGAAATCATTTGTGTGAATGGCTCTCCGTATAAAATATTCTATCATTTCTTTTGTGGCTGGGCCTTAGTGACTAACATTCCAGACAAAGTGCAATATATTCTAAGTTCAATAAAGTCAGGTGTGCAATATATTCTAGGTTTGATGATGTCAGAAGTTTGGTTGTTTCTTATTTTATCACTGTGTTATGATAATATATGTTATAAAAATGGCTTGTGAATGACTTGTTATGAAGTTTGTTTAAAAAAATTGATATTTTTTATTTTTATGATCTCAGCCGATTATTTTTTCTTAATTGTTTATTTGCTTTTTTTTCTGGTGCATGGGAAAAAAATTCTTCCAGATGGCATACAAACAAATTTTAGTAAAATATTGTGCCTCATCAAAATTATGATATAAACTGAATAATGATATTACGGTAACTTCAATGACGGATGTCACTGATCGTTATGTCTAAAAATAATCTACACATTATCTACAACTACATGTATTTCCATCCAATTATTTGATGATGATTTTTTTTATCCAATAATGAGTTTTAATCCATGGGAAGAAGTGCTAATTGTGATGTCACATCTAATAATACAGAATGTTTGTGATTCTGTGACAATATTGTTATAAAAATTAATATGATAAATGTGACCTGTGTAATTGTATGATTTAACAAGGAAATTATAATGTTCAAATATTCAATACTCATGCAGCAAACATTAATTTTGGTGGTGTAATTGTAGCAGATTGTCCTGGCACTGTCAACCTGAATAAAATTACAAGCCTATTTGTACACTGGTACATGTATATTAATGTTTTATGTTTACGCAAATCTGATAGTAAATATAAGTTACAGTGGTTTTGATGTTGATTTCTTTCTTTAAGATCCTGAGTTGTACAGTTTAAGTAGCACTCTATGATTGATTATTTTTCATGGAGTTGAAATCTTTCTTAAATCTTTCTTTAGTGGTACATGTAACTTTTTACTTTGTAAAGCTTCTTAAATTTGCCAGGTTTTAATGTAGCGTTTTGTATATTTTGTGATCGGAGCAATTATATTTTAGGTCAAAAGTAACTACCGGTGTAACGAATTTATATTTTTATTTTATTTTATTATTTACATGAATTTATCTTTTTATTGACCCCCCTTTCCACTATATATACCCCTTCCAACTTCGTTGCGATCAATATAAATCGAAAACTATCCATTTCTCCTCATATTTACCTCACAACGTCTCTAGAATCCAGGAAGTACCGGGGGCTATTGCCCCAGGGCCCCGACCAGGGCTTCGCTGTAGACCCACTGGGGGCCTCAGGGCGGGCCCCTGACTCCCTGCCTACTTTTTGCGTCCCCTTTAAATTCAGTTCCTGAATCCGCGCCTTATACAGGTCGGAGAGAATACTCGGAATCGAATTATCCGTGAAATCGCGTATAATACCCGATATTAGGGTATCGTTGAATCCGCGAAATCGGGTATAGGAGGTGTAATCACCTAATAAAACTTAAACAATGGGATGGCGCATCTTGCCGAGTTAACTTTCATCTAGATACAAATGTTTTCTAAAGGTATCACTAGCCAAGTAAGAATTTGGGCGTCAAGATTAATGCGCTCAGGACAACAAATACCCGTGGAGCTCAGTACATTTCATGATCTGCACACAAAAAGGCGTTCGATTTGCTTTATATTTTTTATAATGTTGAAAGTATATGCATCTTCCTCATGTTCATTCCCAACACAACAGAATTGTAAAGTATCAGAATTCGGGAATTTATAATAATTCCACATCAACACGACAAACATGAACAATTTGTAAATAAATCAAATTATACGGAAATACATTTCACACACAAGATATAATGCCATGTATAAACAAGAGATTGTCTATCGTATCTAATTATGCGTCATTAATTACTTTCACATTCATCTTGTGCATAAAATCAAATTTATTTATGAATGTATAAATAATGTAATGATAAAAATGTCTAAAATTTTGGCTAAAAAAACCCTCTTTCTTTCTCTTTTTTTTTTTTTTTTTTTTTTTTTTGAAAATCTTTTTTTATCATTCATATGTATTTGCAGAGCCCCGTGGGGATCCGGGTTAGAATAGGTCCTCAGTACCCCCTTGCTTTTCGTAAAAGGCGACTAAATGGGGCGGTCCTTCGGAAGAGACCATAGAAACCGAGGCCCCTTGTCACAGCAGGTGTGGCACGATAAAGATCCCTCCCTGCTCAAAGGCCCTAAGTGCCGAGCATAGGCCTAAATTTGCAGCCCTTCATCGGCAATGGTGACGTCTCCATATCAGTGAAATATTCTGGAGAGGGACATTAAACAATATTCAATCAATCAATCAATATATTTGCAGAATATGTCTTCAACATTTTAGCAGAGACAGTGATAGTTTCAGGAATACAGCTTATGAGAGAACATAACTGTTGATCGTTTAATTTCGCTAAGTCATCAATATTTTACCATTTCTTTGCGACCTCATAAGGGGGAAGAGGGGGGGGGGACTCTTCTTGACCACCTCTGACAAAACAACCTCGACTGTGTTCTGCATGTGTCCAAGAGACCTCTCCTTTCGCAATCATTGAATTAAATGTTAACGCAAAGTTTTTTGCTATTTGTCTTTGAATGTGACGGTCGGTTAAATTCGGTTATATATTTTTAATTATAGGGAAGATTTATTCATCAAATAAAAATTATATAGGTAAACAAAAAGCAACCTGTTATTTTCTAACACAATATGATACTACAAGTAAGTTAAATTCATGTTTATTTTTAACATATTTTGTCATTATAGATGAGTATTAAGAAAAGTTATTGCCATGAGTAATAAGTATCACAGATAAAATAACTAAAAGAAAACTGACATAGTGATTGTCTAGAACCATTCAGATAGTCCGTTGTATAGCATATTATAATGAGGTTTTGAGACAGCGATATAAAAAAAATGCGTAAAATAGACAACAGAAGGTAAAATCTACCCGGTCTATCAAATAGTATAATAAAGAAAGGAATTGCTACAATTCTTATGAAATTTTAATGTCCGATGAGGAATTATATTCCCAAAAAGTAAGACAAGAGTTTCCACGGCGCAATTAAACACTCCATTGTTTCAGTTTGTTCATTAACATGTTCATAAACGTAAAAACTAAAAGAAATGTGAAAACTTGGCTATGTAATTTATATTTGAATATGACTGTACCTCGATCTATATTGAGAAATTCAATGTATTATAAGCTCATGAAAAGATGTACACATTTGACTTTTATTTATAACACCCCCCCCCCCCCCCCCCAAGAAAAAAAAACAAAAAAAAGAAAAGAAAATCCTGTTCACATGATTTCTCGCTCTCAATTTTCACACAAATGCATAAAAGGTAAAATAGCATATATTGTATCGATTAAAATGCAACCAAAAAATTTACGGTGTGTTTGAATAAAAATTTCCATGCTAAATTGATTTAAAAAGATACTCACCTTCAATTAGCTATTTTCAACCTGTTTCTTATTTAACAACCATGTAAATTAGGTTTAATAGAAATAAATCCAAAAGAAACTGATGTACAATTAACAGTAACTGGCATAATGCGCCGTTGCTTTATTCTTTAGTTTTTATAGAAAGTTGCACGGAATACCCGATTTCGCGGATTCAACGATACCCTAATATCGGGTATTATACGCGATTTCACGGATAATACCCGATTTCGAGTATTCTCTCCGACCTGTTATATATTTCGTAGTATCTAATATGTTATGTCGTACTTCATCGTCGAAAACCACTGCCAAAATGTACGATCCTCTCCGCTCCTATCCGCTCTGGAGAGAGAGAGAGAAAGCTATGCGGACTCGGAACCGTGACTTGAGACGATGGTCGTACTAAAATATATAATATAATCTGTTTTCAGATATTTAAAAAAATTATTTTCATACAAAATAAACAACAATTGGTAATTAATTAAAAGTTAAATCCTGATAGGCTGATATTAATAAACAATTTAGGAACACGGCAGTATAACAATAACTGATATATATTGTAAAGTTCATTGACATCACGTTACATCACTTCACACAACCCGTCATACAGAAAGTTCCATACGTTGTCTGAGATTTCTGTGTTAGGCCTGAAGATGAAGATCCGAGTCTGAAAGTCATTCTGGCGCCTTCCAGCACGTGTTCATAATGCTTGATTGGAGCATAATAAAACTCCTCTAACCACTCTGACTTGCAGGCTATAACCCCCGTAACACGAAGCAGACTACCACTGAGAGTCACGTGATCTGACACACCCTGTACCCATTGTCTCTTAGCGTGGTCCAGATTGTAAACCACTGTATCAAAAGCCTTAGTGTTTGAATCACTGTCTTTGAGACACTTGTCTTTAAGTACGTCTGGAGACAGAGCGAAGCACAAACGCGCCACACCGTCCGCCTCTTTGTTTGTGAGCAGATGATAATGAGTGAAATCTGTCCATCGCTGTAAGTCACACAAATCTTCAATGTCCACACAGTTGGACACTGATTTGAGGTAGAACATAAGTTTAGCCAGTGGTCGCTGGGGAACTCTGTCTCCCGAGGTTTCCATATCACTGTATCTCCACCGTTACATGATAGGGACTTAGGGTTGTAATAAGCGCGTGATATTTATGTACTTCCTGTGTAATATACGTCCTATTATCGCTAAGTATAAACATATAGGTAAATACGTAATGTTACATATGACCTTTGTTTACATTCTTTTGATCTATTATCTCAAAACAAAAGAATCTTTATTTAAGTGTACAAACTGTAAGCTATCAATTAACAAGATAGTTTTACGTTTTCAAAAGTTGATTAATTAAAAATTTAATTGTTAATTTTCTGAACATTAGTCCTGGAATGAGTAAAAAGCTCTCGGTCAAAAGATTATAGTTATGACCGAAGGAATTTTTAAGCAATTTTTTAGGATCCTATATATCATATTGTATTCAAGATAAGATTATGCAACTGCATGAAATCTATTTTCTATGATCAGGTCATTGTATTTGGTATACGATAAATTAATGCAAATCCTGGTTCATAAACGTCTTTCAATGTTCAGCTACTGATAACTTCAATGATTGTAATGAAATGTAAGGAAATAACGCACAATGATCTAGCTCAAAAGCCCATTGAAAAATTTACAATTTGCAAACACAAACCTCTAAAAACACCAGAGATGGATCAGGTACCATAGAAAAGTAAGCATCCCCTGTCGACTGGTCACACCCGCCGTGTGCTCCTTGTCTTGACCCGACAAACAGGAAAATCAGAAGACAACCCAGTGTGTAGTAAAAACGACCAAACAATATGTAAAACGTCAGCATTCGACTCAATAGCTGTCAATATCTTTGTTTCGTGAATTTATATTTCAATAGCCTACCTCGTTTAAAAATTGAGAGGCTCATTTTAGCTTTACAAGTCAAAGACCAGAGGAGCTTTATGAGATAGTAAATAAATGTGTCCATGATTTTAATATAATTTCATATATAAGAAGAATACACAAAAATGCATAATTATGTGTATCGGTTTTATATTTCGATGAACGATGTTGCCGTCGTTACTTAAAATGGAAAATTCTTTGATAAACACCCAAAATACTACTCCTGCAGTTTTGGTCTGAGCGGAATCATTGACAGCTGTTTTTTCAATAATTATGGAACCCGTAGACTTGCTTACCTTGTCATTGGTCACTTGCAAAAAGTATGCTGTTAAAAATATCCTGATTGTACAGAAAAGCATCTAAGTTAATAATATTAAAAGGATGCATGCTTGAAGAAGAATTTATAGTTTTAGCTTTATTGTGACTTAAAAATTTAATGTTTTCAAAAAGTTCTTAAACTGGCTAAAATATTAGTTGAGTTTATGACTGTGAAAGATCAGGAAAGAATATGATACGAAGGAGTACTATTCTGCAAATAATACGTCATTGATTCGACGCATTTCTCTATTTTAAACAGAAAAAGCCTCAAAATGACTCATTTCAAGGGGAATTTTCCTTTAGAAAATAATGTCCACATCCGTCGCCCACTTTAATATTTGGATATTTTGTGCAAAATACAATGAAAAATCTTT